GGCTTCTCACAGGTCTTACACCTCCAGGTGCATTCCCTGGTCCGCCCGGTAATCCAAGTCCTACTTGAGGTCTGGGTGTTGCGACAACGGGTGGAGGAGGGGGCGGATCGTTAGCTTTGAAAAGATAGGCCGGAGCTTTTGGTTTTGGTCTGTCAATTGGTAAATCTAATTGCTTCCTTCCGGCCGTCAAATCTCCCACTTGTTTCAGGAACAAGTTAGGGTTGAGCATATGCGAGGTAGCTAAGAATATATCTCTGTTACAATCCTTCGAAATTTCATAGCAAGCTCTTGCTTCTGAGTAAGTAGCTCCACCTGCCATGAAAACAATAATTCTTTGCATGTTATCTGGGGTGGTACTACGCCCACGAGCCCATGTAGGCTTGGCGCTACGAAGTGAAGCTTGTGATTGAAGAGCCATTTCCTCAGATGGATCAGTAGGAGGTCTTGTATAAGGGAATATATTTGGGTCTAAAGCCCCCTTGGTGATTTCTTCGAGACAGCGTTGGAGATTTGTTTCATATCGAGACAGGGCAAGTTCTTCGTTGATTACAGTAGGTGTAGGTTTTGGTGGGAATAATGGAGTTGGTACAGCTTTGGTTTTGGAGTCTGTAAGTTTCTTGGTGGTGTGTACCCCTAGTAATTCTAGGTTTAGAATTTCATTCATTTCTGAGAGGGGAAGCCCAGAATGATGTAAGAGACGTTCGAGATCTTCCGTAATCAATCCGTCTCGGAATATAACATAAAGTATGATAAGCCGTAATCGTTCCTTGGGAGCAACAGCTGGATTATCTAACAGACGAACAACTTGTGCACCCATCTCCTTGGGTTTTCGGTAATCTTCGTCCAGTCCCGTGGCTAGAGTTTGTTCCGCCAACGCAATTTCCGGGAGCTCATGGTGTTGGAAGATGTTCATACATTCTTGTGCCATATTCAAATGTAAAGAGTACGCTTCCTTCATCTCCTGAAATTGTGGCAACCCTGCTAACATATCTTTGATTTGACTGATATTAACATTTTCCGCATCTTGATTGGCGAAATGTGGATTATCTGCGATGAACTTCTTGAAATCGCTCATCAACTTTTGGATAGTTTTACTCATATGTTGGTGCCTATTTTCTACCCAAATCTTATCTTTCTCAGTAATCTCCATTTCTTTTTCTTCTTCTTGCGCAGTTCCTTCATTCAACACAGTTGTGTAAGTGACTTTCTCGTGGTCTTTGATTGGAAGGAGGTCGTGTGCCATGGCTTGGTATGTGAATTCGTGCAGTATTGGTGCTAATGTGTCCATTGATCTGTCTGTTATGAGTAGAACACCTTGAGGTCGATTAGATTGCGGTGGGAAACTGGGGTTATATTGTTGGTACGCATCAAGCTCCTCCTGAACAAATCTGGCTAGATGAGAACAGAGAACCGCTGCTTCATGCGTAGGATTTTTAGGTCTGTAATAACGTATTTTTGGGGATTCTCCCAGAGAAACGCAGATTCCAGTGATCTATGTATCAAATCAGTCTCTATTCTGTAGCTCATATTGACCAAGGAATCCTACCTTTTGCGCTAGAAGTTGCATATGATCGCGCACCAAAGGAGCGCATGCTGGGTGAAATAAGATGGGAAAACTCCAGGGATCTCTGAATGTTATTAGATGCGACTCGCGAGGATAGAAATCTATGGATAGAGTCTCCCATCCGCCCAATTGTTCTTGTGCTTGTCTTGAGGAATCGATACGCCGGCGCATCGTTGGATCGAGAAGAGCAACCCATACTAGGAATGACTTGCGATATCTTCGACGTTCAAAATCTGCCAACAAACAATCGACAACATGTGGTTCGGGCGATAGAAGGTATATGGCATCCATGCCTGGATTCATTTCCCTCCTGCTTTCGAGTGTTTCCACATCTGCGATCACTTTAGTAGCGCCCTCTCAGCACGCATAAATGGACATACTGGCGATGTTTTCGTTGAGAATATCATCTTCCTTTAGGACACTAAACACTATCTTTTTGGTCGCCTCATCGATAACGAGCACCTTCCACTACAGTTGTTTAGCATATATTCGATCGCGGAGGAGGAGAACATACGTCGCCTCGAGTGATTGACTTTATGGCATCCAAAATAGCTGTAATTCATATTAATTTGTATACATATTCCAACATCCGTGAATTCGAGCTTACCCTGGCGCTGTTCGTCAATGGCCGACACCCCCATGATGGGCGGTGTATGACTTGTTGGTGTAGACTTTTTAGAGGTGTTTCCGAGAAGGTCAAGTAGTGGAATTAAGGAATATTAATCTTCAGTATCGAATGAGTAGCACAGAATGATTTATTGTGTTTTCTTGTGGTTGTTTGATTGAAAGGGAGTTTGATTCTTGGCGGGGTCATGTTCACATTGGAAACAGAAACATGATGGCTGTTTCGTGAGGCGGCCGCTTATGCGCTAATACAGAGTGAAGACAGGACGGCACAGAAAGACCAAAGCTCAATCAAAGCTACGACGACATGTTGTTTTATATAGATTTACAATGTCTCAACATGATTATCATAATTAAACCGATATGAATCTTTCGCTCTCCTTTATTTATATATATTACTGTGTCTATCAATGAGTTCTGTGAATGAATTCTATGAATCAGGTGCTCATAGTAATATAAATACTGTCTACAAGTGATTCCCATGAAGTAAGTGCTCACAGAATCACTATCAAACTGCATGCGATCTTTTCACAAGGGCAGAAGGTGATCGATAGTGGTCTTTCACCTCCTCTTCTAGATTGCAACTCGCTAAGGATTAAAATGCATCCTAAAAACCTCCGGCTTGAAATATTGGTTGATGGTGGAGCGGATCTTTGGTATTAATGCAAGTATCCACAAGCTGTCTCAGGAACATGCGAGAAACGATCAAAGGGACAAATGCAATCTGAGTGCTTCGAGTATAGATATAAAGTACAAGATTATTGAGCCTACGTGCTTCTACTCTCAAAATTGTCCAGAATGCTAGCCTTTTCAGAGAACGGTCGAAGCACCTAGCTGGTGTGCCGAGATACCATTACATTTATCAGAAGGGTAGTTATGTCCCATCAACTGGCAACACTATGATATAGAAGTCACAAGGAGTACTAATTAGGCTTGTGAAAGCTTACCTGGCTGGAAGTATTGAGGGTCCAGATATCATCTCAGACATCATCTCAACGTCGGATCTATCCCTATACTCTGAAGCGTGCCGTCAGGGTTGTAACGAGAAAAGCCATTGCATCATCTCTCAGTGTAGACATCGAATGGTATCTGTCGATTATCATTTAGACCAAGAGGGAACACTTGGTTGCTGATTTCAAGTCCGGCAATTGTTTTCAATTAGGGGAAGTGGAGTTCCTCAATAACAAATTCCTGTTCAATCTTTTTGGAACAATTTCATGTGTTAAATCTCCTCGAAACTCTATCTCATTTGTATTTGAATCATCTTAATCATCAAACTGTCCGATAATTTTCACATGCTCACATCTTCCGGGCTACTGAACCTCTCGAGTCGTGCTTCAATCTAAGATCTTGGGGAAGCGGAGAAGGGTAGTATTTGCTGGATCTTGATAGCTAGACGGAAGTTCATCTTGCTCTTATTTCCGCGATCTAGGTCGTCTACTATTCCTGTGTTTCAAATATTGATAGCATGGGTTCAATCAGATTCGCTACATCCAGCGAACCCAAATGGGAAATAAGTAAGGAACATGAAGATATGGGGAGATGGCGGGGGTGGAGGTGGGGTTGCTGATCGAGTGCTGAATGTCAATCATACAGAGCTGCTTCAAACGACATCGAACTAACTCTGTCATATCATATGACGTGCTACACATAAATACCTAAGTTCTGGAGGTCTTATTGACAGGATCTTGCTATATGTGTGCAAATCTAAGAAATTCAATGTCGTGGAGCTACAGTCAAACTTGTATTGATATTGTTCCTCACCCATATAGCAGCCCACTTACTTCGTTGATCCAAGCCACATTCAAACTTTAGATCTGCCGACAAACTCATAACAAGTTAACCCAAGCTTATTCCATTATGATCTAGCGTCCAATTCTAACCACATTCCCCCAGGTCAAACTCATAGCATCAAACGTCCATCTCACTCCATCCCCAAATGCGAAATCTCGACAAGCCCTTATAAATCTTCGACCTTTCCCCGACCCCCCCCGCTAGCCACAAACTCCCTTAGTTCACCACTAGCAAACGCCAAACCAAACTCAAAATAACTATAAAAGCGCACTAGATCATGTCCAGTTGCTTATAAATCAGCACATATATTACGATACTGGATCTTCTTTAGATTAAGCTGCACTTCCAAACTCTAGCATCTTGATTTTTCCTTATGAATTCAATATTGCACTGCTGTATTCTTAAATATGCACATCGTATTCTAAATAAGGGACTGAAGACCTTGGGAATTGCATGACCAACTTCTATACTACCATCGGAAATTCCCTAATTACCATGCTATGACAGATATGCAACAAAACTTTACAGAATTTACGTTTCCCCTCTGGTACCCCTATAGAAGGCTCCTTCCTAATCAAACAATGTACCAGTCCAGATCGACATACCTCTCCTATCACATATTACAAATCATAAAGCAATTGAATAATACAGAAACGCGGTGGTTAAACGTGCTTGAAATTATCATTCACGCAAGAGTAAAACCTCTCCACAGATATAGCTAGCTAGATAAGGGGGATCTTGGTATCAAGCCAAAAACTTGCATCACACACGCTCGACGCTGACGCTACGTAGGTAAATCGCAACTTCCCTCACTGCTCTTCTCAACGCACAAACGCATTCGACTGACAAACATCTGAGAACCATTCCCTGATCATCCAGACGAGTGTCACTAAAGGTCAAAAGATAGTCTACATACACACTTTTACGTCCGTCATTGACAATCATTCCATGTAAACCTTGATATGATCTACCACTATGAGGATTTAAGCGATTTTCTTCTTACCCACACACGTGCAAGCTATTGCCGTCTGAATGCACCTTGCGGAGGAGGCGGCCCACGACCATCGAAAGGAAATGCCGGCATGCCCTCCGCTGAAAAAGGACTCATAGCTGGTGGAAGAAAACCCGGCGGTGGGCCGTTGAAGTAAGCCGGATTGAATGGCATATTTCGAGGACCCGGTATTACCTCTGGAGGGGGAAAGTTGCTCATGTTACCAGGCATTTGAAAGCCCGGTGGGAGAATTTGCTGAGGCATTTGCATCGGGCGTGGGACGTTTCCGCCTAGACCAGGAGGGGCCGTTGGTCGGAACTGTTGCGGAGGAGGAGGGTGTTGAGCGGAAGGCTGTCCTGGCCAGCTTTGCTGCTGCAATTGCTCGAGACCTGGAGGTGGTCGTGTAAGAATATGTGTGGGTTGTGGCCGAGGATTATCATGTTGTGGAGGAGGTCCACCCCGATAAATAGGTTCATCAAAGAATCCAGGTGGGCGACGCTGTGGATTTCCACGTTCGCGCTGAGCTTGTAAATCCTGTTCTCTCTCCAATTGTTGTTGGAGTTGGAGTTGACGGCTAGGTTGTTGTCTGGGTGGATGGCCAAGGATGATCTGCTCTGTTCTTTGAGGCTCTGGAGCTGCTTGTGCTTCTCTCATGAGGCTCATGAGAAACGCAGTCTGTTCGGACCGAGGCTGTTCACCTCTGAAAGAAGACTGACTGATAGCATGCTGACGCTGGTTAACCAAATGATTCAACATTTCTTCTGGACGTACAGTTGGTTGACTGCCTGCTTGTTCACGTTGAGCGCTAAGGTCATGTAAATTGTGAGGATATAGGTGAGCAGCCGGCCTCATCTCATCATGGCGATCTGGAAGACGCTGTTGCGAAGAATCGCGGCTCTCGAAAGCTGTACTTGGTTGGGTATCTTGTGCGGGAGGTTTCGATTGCATCATAGGATTTGCAGGAGGAGTTCCACTGGATTGTAGCATCGCAAGTATCATTGGCATTGCTTCTTTATCCGCAGGGGATTGGATATTGTTGGTCAAACCGTCAAGTCTATGGACCGCTGGCTGGGGTATAGCTGTTTGTGGTTCCGCTTTATGCGAAGTCTCATCATGAGTGAAGAATTTGTTAAACCTTGAGGTTTTCCCACCCGGTGCAGCGGACACGGCAGATTTTGTCATGTTTTCTGTATTCAGATCAAACTGTGATGCGAGTCCATTGTCATTCTTTGGCTGAGCCCACAAACGGAAAAATTCATCTCCGTTAAACCCAGTATCAAGCGGCGCAAGAGAGATAGGCTTTTGTATTCCAGAGACAGAAGAATGTTCGTCAACCTTTGACTGCGTGGCTTCTTCCGCCACTGTATTACCTTTGGTAATTGGTTTATCCTTGGAATGCATTGCATCTTTCCATTTTTGCATATCCTCTGCTGTAAATTTGCGCTCATTATTGCCAGTAGATGTGTGCGATTTTTGAAAGTCATCTTGTGGAGCAACTTGGATACCTTCGTCTTCCGCCCACGCTGGAACATCACCATTATGATCGTCATGAACTCTGTTCCTGTCTGCCCAGCGTCGATCACCTCTGTCCTTATCTCCACGATTATCGAACTCTTTTTCTCGCCAACTTTTGTTTCGATTCTCAAACCTATCTGCATTCGTATTTCGCTCCCGGGGAGTTGGCGGCCCATCGTTATTCTCTCGGAACCAAGTAGGTTCTGTTCTTCCCCGACCGTTTCCAGTTCTGCGATTATTGTCTTGTTCATGATTCTTTTCCTTGTCTCGAGAGAAATTCTCAAACCCTCTAGGTCTTTCCTTTGGATCGCGCTCTTCTCGATCCTTGAATCGCTTCTCATCTCGGTGCCTCTCTCCACCCATGCGCCCAGTGAAACGCTCAGCTCCCTCAGTACCAAAACTCTTTCGAGGTTTCACCTCCATCCAGCCTTCCTGGTCGACACCATCACCAGGCTTCGGTCGCAGCATATCACGCCTAGAACGATCGTCACTGTCGTCGATTTTTGTACGATAGCTGAGTTTGCTTTGCGACTCGCTTTCGCGAAGGGCGGGTCGATCTGGAGAATCGATACCTTTACCTGCATTACGAGCAGGATTGGCGGATGAGAAGGTAGTTCTCGTAGGCACAAGTTGAATCGTCTCGGGGTCTATCTGCATGTCAGTACAAGAGAACAAGTAATGACTGGAGGAGTGAGATCGTTGGCAGACATACTTGCATTGTTTCGTGGTCGTCGATTTGTGTGTTCTAGGAGCGGATTTGCATCACGATCTCTTGTCCTATCAGGTATCCTAGCAGAGGTATTTCGATTCGGATCAGGTGTTTGTCTGGAAATAGTTAATATGAGCTGTTATGGCTGAAGCTTCTTGCAACAAACCCCATCCATTCTGCAGAAGACAAAAGACCAGGAGGTTTTACAACCAATGGTGAGTCTCGTAGAAACAACAGTTCGTCTCTGGTATACCGACGAGCTTCACCCGTGTCGGGAGCCATTATGATACGTTGCTGCGATCGTGTTGAAGAGTATTGTAAAGCTTAAATTATATGCAGATGGAGAATTGTATTGTTGGTAGAATTAACAATATTTAGTCCAGATGACCTTGTAAATTTTGTTAGCTGTAGGTGTGTGTTTGTTTTGTGTTGTATTTCGAAGACTGTAGATTATAAGTATGAGCAAGGACGTTCTTGTGGCCGAGCTCAGCGCAGCTACCTAAGTAGGCGCAAAGCTCTACGATTTATTAGGCTGTTGTAATTTTGTAGGGTGTGAGAGGGACTTTGAACTCGTCGTGGTTGTTTGTTTAATACGGCGAGGAGGGGTTTTGAGATGAGGGTTTTCGAATGAAGGTTTCAGGTCTCTTATTGAGTGTGCGCAATATGTTTGACTGGCTTCTTGTTTTAATCTCTGGTCTTTTTTGGGAGGCAATATAGCTTTATGTTATTTTATTCTGACTGTTTTAAAGTTGAGGTTCAAGGTCGTTCGTTTGCTCGTTGCCGTCGTTAGAAGTGTTGATGCCACAAAGGCAGGTTCCGTTTGTCTTAGCGATCTTCAGCCTCGGTGGGGCTCAGCTTTGAATGTCGATGATACAAATTTCGTCCATTCAAGCGTTCAAGGGTACAAGCATTATGGTTGTGTGGTATAAATATAAATATCGGTGTTCTTCATTACTAATAATATATCATAGTTAAAACAGTGTTCATACATTCGCATAGCACTCTAGAAATGGAGAGTGTCTTGGAAAGAGGTTAGATTCAATATTCAGGGTATCTTCAATCACAATTATCCTTACTATGTACCTGATAGCTATTAGCTATCTTGTTCGTGTCGCCTTGTAACTATTCAGTCGTTGGGGCCTTCTCCCCCTTCTTCCACCCTTCAATTCTTTGCTTGTCACTTGAATCTATAATCCTTTGCATCAACACCTTCAAAGGCGTACCGCCACCCAAAGCAACTTGTACTTCCAACCATGTAATACTACTGAATCTTGTAATCAACGTGGTGCTTCCTCCTTCAATTGTGGTTGCGCGAAACAACAGCTTGAGTATTTTCTCTTGTAACCCCTGTGCAAGATACGGGTTGTTATATAACGTGAACAACTTCTCGAAGACTCGGCGTTTTCGGAATATGCCCATATCTGTTGGCGTTTGAAGACCAGCAAGCATAAAATCTAAAAGCCAGGAAACTTCTGAGTGATGGTGATCGTCGAGACTTGGCGACTCGTCTAGAACCTTATACATCAAAGGTATTTTGTCAATCTGCCATGTTGGGCCCTGAGAAAGGAACTTGTTGATTTTAGGATAAAGACAGTGGAGAGGGTCGCATAGTACAGCCACAGAATGTGACGCGAACGAGGATATGATGGTGGGAAGTGGTTCTGCGCTGATAACCTTCTTCGATGTTTCCACTAACTCACAAAGTAGTAGCCAAATTTGTTCCTTTTCCTCGAATGAAGATTCTTTGAGTTTGGCTCCAATCTTCGATATATTGGTCAATGCCTCCTTGCGAACATTGAAATGTTCCGAAGATAGTAGCATGATCAGTGCTGCAGCATAACCGCCTTCAATGACTTCCTCTATATCCTTTGCCACCCACTTCACCAATGCATTATGGTCCTCCTCAGGCAGTTCCTTCAGCATTGTAGCATTTACCTCGTCTACTTCTGCTGCCGAGATTTCACCCTTGGAAATTGCAGAATTGGGCTCTCCAGTGGCTCGTTGCGATGGCTGTGGGATTTCAATTTCATCAACAAGTTTTCGAGATCTATCTAGAATCTTTCGAGCTGACGATTCCTCTGGTGTCTCGTCGACCATAGCTCTGTTGATCAATCTGATAACCTTTTTATCCTCGCCAATCTTTATGGAAGATGCCAGGAAACGAGCAATGAATTCGGCCACACCTTTGAGATTATCTGTTCCAGACTTGACAAGAAATGGCCATTGTTCAGCAACGGCAAGTATCAGCAAACTTACAGCAGACTGCTCTTTCTCGTCGTCGCGGGACTTTGAAGTTAGTTCTTCGAGCGAAAATATATACTTCACTGGCTTTGAAGCACATCTCGAAACACAGTCATCGAGAAATTCATGAACCTGCCTTTCTTTAGGCGTACCTTGAATTTCCTTAAGTCTCGCTATGAACGTGTCAAGCGCTGAGATTGTAGTCTCAGTCTGAAAAATTTGATTTTCTTGGACAAGTGAGTTCAGGACGGATCTCAGCTTGAGCAAAGGCACACCGGCTGGTGCTTCGGCTGATAATCTTAGCATGGCCACGAAAGGAGAAGCTGAAAGCCCCTCTGCCTTGACGAACCATCGCATCCCCGGCGAAAAATGAGAGAATTGAAACAGATTCTCCAATTCCATAATTCGGAATGCGCGATCCTCTTTGGATACCCCGGTGCTATCGATAGCTTGTAGAGCGTTCGTAAGGGTTTCCGATACGTCAAACTTAGCGTCCAATGCAACCCGTGGAACCACTTCATAATACAGAACTAACAACTTGGTGACGGCCTCTCGTTGCATCAATTCTGTATCTGATAACTTTCGGAATGTACTAATGACATCCTTGATCGAAGGAACACGTTGACAAAACTCATCTGTCAATCTCTCAGCAGCTTGAGTCCATATCGAAGAAGAGGCAACGGCTGCTTCTTGATACATCTTCAATATCTCCTGCATTTTGTTGAATGCGACGGAAAGAATACGTATTGCAAAAAAGGAAATGAGATTATGTTGCTGATTTAGACAACGTGTGAAAACCTTTTGCGTTAATGGTTGAGGCAATATACTTTCCAGCACAATAGAAGAGGGAGGAGGTAGTCTCGCATACCTCTCCTGGTGTCCAAGATATTGAGGGATGGGAAGTTGCAGGGTAGAGAATACAAAAGCTGAATATCCAACCCACGTCGCGGTAAGCTTAGGATCCAACGAAAACGATTTTTTGGTGAAGAAATAACTTGCGACAAGCTCTGGGGCAGATTCAAGAATAGACAATAATAGCTCGCTTTGTTTCAAGCTCGACCAAGGACGAAGATTTTGGATGAACTCAGATAATACGGTATTGCGGACTGGAACTTTTTCTGTAAAGCGCTCCATCCATTCAATACTGTCTAGCCCGAGATCAATATGTCCGGCTCTTGTATCAACTTCGAAGCCTTCGTCGGCATCAATTCCTCTGGGATAAAATCCATTTTGACGATTAAGGACTCCTAGGTTTGGCGATGTGCATGCGAGCATCAGAAAATTATGAGCGATCTCGTCAACTGCTTTTTTCCCTCTGCCGATTTCCTCATCTTCCTGATCATATGCATACAGCGCTGCTATCCGGCCGAGAGAGATTGCATTTACAACTTTCGATTTGGCATCTCTGGGTAGAGCATCATCTTGCAGAACATCGGATTTCAAAGTCTCGAGGATATCGCGTATCACAAACGGGGGATCGTCTCTGATATCTCTCGTTAAGCCCATAACAACATCCCTTTGATTCAGCAGTTCTCGCTTCGATTCTGTGGGGAGGAACTTTATGATAGAGAGGAGGAATCGAAGCGCATTGGTCCGCACAGAAGGCTTCCTGCGATCTTCGACTGCATCTCCTGTATATTTCAAGCTAAGGTTTCTCGCCAATGTCTTAAAGGTGTAGTCTCTTGATCGGAAAACCTGCTTCGCTAAAGCTCCGCCATCGTAAATCGATAGTTCTCGAAGGAGTCGTAAAACTGGGGAAATTACATGCTCTTTGCTCTTATTAGATGTAAGGCCTCTTGCAATCAATTCTAGTTGGCGCTTCTGAAGTATCGTTCTACCTAACCTCAATCCGTGTTCAGCCATCTCCAGTATATTGGATAAAGTCTTCAAAAGTAACGCCAGTACGGCTGGAACTGCAGAGAGAAGAGATTCATCGTTAGCTTGAGATGCGAAACTCCAAGTTTGCATCAGATCGGAGAGGAAAACGGCTGATTTGTCCTCATCGTCGGCAGGCTTTTGCGATTCGAGGTACTCTTTGAGAATGATGATTCGGGCCGAGTTGTCAGTATCTGCGATAGAAAAGCTGTCCAGAAAAGCTTTTAAAGATTGTATGCCTGTATTGGGTCAGCTAAACGTAAATAAGAGATATCGAGGCATTTTGTACCATGTTTTGAACGACCAGAATCTTGGTCAAATGCTAGAGTCTGCTTCAGTTGCCTCGCAGACTGTATATCGACAGAGGTATAAGTTGTCTTGGTGACATTGGATATCCTTTGACGCTTCTGGTATGCTTGGCCTCCATCTTCAACGACCTCAGAAGTTCGTTTGCTCATTCTCAAGTATTTTATGCTGGCTACTAAAAATTGGGCAATTCAATTGTCGATTGCATCCATCATCCGTGGTCTGGACAATGTTTTTCGTTCCCAAAAATAATTTTCTTGACATCCTTATCGAAATTTTGATAGTCGGCATGCTTAATCACCGAGACTTTAAAGTTGTGGCGCGAACCTGGGACGGGCGTGGCTTGCAATCTAATGCCCCATGCCACAGATAAATCTACACCCTAACTTTATTTACTGACCTCGCCCTTCCTGGGAGGACCTGGTAGCTTCGACTTCGATGCTATCGTATATTCGAGCTCTAACCACACAACCATGATCAACAAATAAGATCAATCTCGCAATTGGCTTCGATCAAGCCAAAGTTAGCTAATGTCTTCAAATGTCGACGCTTCTTCCACTGACCCCGCGACGCGGTATCCAACGAGTCTCTCACCTCCGCCAGGTGAGCAATGGTAGCTCTGATAATGGGACCGCGTCCGCAAGCAGACCAGTCACTTCGTGCTCAAGCACAGGAACTGTTCAGCACGATCCGATACCTCTAAAGCTTCCCGTTGAGAGGCGATGCAACCTATGGACGCACGATGAAACGTTCTCGAAAGATGAAGTTGTTTTAAATCTAGACTTATTTCCAGATGTCAAGGCCGGGGAGCTTATGGCTATCGTAGCCCTCAAAACAGACTCAGGGTTTCGCGATTTTCAGGACAAGTCGGCTTTGAATAGAACAGAAATTGATAGTGGAACAGCTTCTGGGCAGTTTGGAAGCTACATTTGGTCTCAATCTGGCCATGACCATCGTGGGAAAGGCTCTAAGCATGATATGGGCTTTGGTAAACGCTATCTGTTTCTCGCAAAAGACATGCCAAATGATTTGAAGCTGAAGCAACCCGCATTGGAGGTCTCTCTTGCTAAGCCCATTGCCGATGTATTTAATTTGAAGCATCGGTCCAATGTAATTCTTTGCACAGTATGTTCTATCGACACAATCCTTCTCAAATATGCTGCTAATTATAATGTCCTATAGACTGATACAGCCATCAGCTCTGCATCTCATGTTGAGATGTCGTTCAAAGATGAATACCTTGCTCGATCGGACATGTGGAGATTAACTGTGGGCGAAATGGTAAACAAGGCTGTCTATAAAGGGCAAAAGATTTTGTTTATGGGCACGATCAAGGCACAAGTTACTGCTGTTTACATTGGTGGTCGGAAGGTGCAGTCCGCATTCTTTTCGACGACTACCAAACCAGTCTTTCGGAGCGAATCAGCGCGCTACGTGCTTTTTATTCAGATGTCGAGGGAGATGTGGGATTTTGACTCGGAAGGTTCAGGAGAAATAATGTTCAACAAAGTGGTAAATGGCTTTCTGCCAGCATTGTTCAAGAAGTGGGTGCAGCTTAAAGTGAAGCATTTAGTCAGCATAGTGTTATTTACAAGAGTCGAATACGATACTGGGTTGGCTTCAGAATTAGCAAGATCTTCACACGATACCGCCTACCACACAGGTGTACAAACTGATGGTAATAAAAAGCCATACAAAGATTTTTATCGAGTTGTTGTTAGTGAGATGGCCAGTGGAGAGTGGACAACGATTCTATATCAGTTGAAGCGCGAGTTTAAATTTTTTCGCAAAGATATCTCCATGCATCGAATCGAGTTAGTCACAGCTTTGGGGGCGCCGTCCTCAGCAACAAGTAAAGGCACTCTTGGGACTCGCATCGAGGCGGAGCCCTCGCTTGCTATGCATGGGAACGTTCTCGAAGCAATCGATCTTGCTTCGACCCAATTTGCGCATGATTATATCGATCGGGACCTTGTTAGGACTGGAATATCTATTGTTGTCGTAACTCCATGTGCCGGACTTTTTGAAGTAGACTATGAGACTCTTCGTAAAACCGCAGAGAGTCTCATCGGTAACGGCATTGGAATCGACCTTGTTTGTCTCCCAAAAATGCCACTGCACTCTGTACCACTGTTCCGATACCGAAACCCACGATATGCTTCATTTCAAGAAGCATTGCACTTTAAAGCTCTTCGTAGCGAAGATAGCACTCCACGTCAAACAGCTCCCATATTTGGAAGCTATTCATCCTTGAACGGCTCGCTTTCCCCACCCAAAATTCGTGATAGAAGTTTCCAAAATTCCTCTTCAAATAGTGGGCAGGACCCTAGTGAGTGGAACTATGCAATACCGCACTGGATCGATGTATCATTTTGGACTGGGGCTTCCCAAGATCTGCTGTCTACATATCCTCTGGCTGATTCGAAGCTCTTCAAGAAACGAGTAGCCGAGTCCTCTAGCGATTTCGCGATACGATGTAAAATGTATGAAATGGAAATGGCTAGTGTCATGGAGAATTCAATGACCGAGATTGCCGTTCCGCCACTGCAACTAGACATTGTCTTTCCCCAAATGTTAATCCAGGAATCTCGCGAAACTCGGGGTGCGAAAAAGCATTCTTATACCTGGGAACGCGCGAAGTTGCAGTCGAGCCTTTCAGAGTTTATTAATGGGCCATCAAAACCTTTACTTGATCGACATGCCACACAATTTGAAAAGCAATTCGTCAAGGCACTTGATCTATACGATGTCAACCACTCTGAAACCGTGGAGCATTTTATCGGCTCACGACAAAAAAGCCTAAAGTCGCCCTTTAAAGCAGGAAGTGAGGAAACAGCGAGGAAAGTTCTTGCAAATGATTCTAAAGTTTTTGGCACCTCTTTCACTGATGATAGTCCAACCTCAAGAAGCATGAATTTGCTCAATGGGTTGAAGCTCGACAGAGACAAGCAAAGCTTACATAGTAATGATCCGATATTGCCACGTAAAGGCAGTGTAAGTAGCACTATGACTGCAGCCAAAGCTCCTGCTCCACGACCTACCAAATTGAACCGCCAAATAAGTCTAGGCAAGTACGGTTTTGGCATCGCCGCGCCTAAGGGTGTCGCAGCTGAACTACACACTGAAAATGCTAGTGCAGCGAAACCAGTTTCTGCTTCGTCGAAAGACTTTGATCCAAAGAAGAAGAATACTTTCACCATAGCGAATCATTTACTTAGCGCTCCAGTGAGCCAAGATCGACCACCGTCATCAAATAGCGACAAGTCAAGGATGAAGTCCGATAGCAGTTCCATCGAAAGCAAACGGAAAAGCGAGCCGGACGTTGAGAGGAGTCCTTCGATACGCCCCATGACTATCAAGAGCGCACTTCAGTCTTTAGATTCGACGAATCAGTTCAAATCTAAATCTGTCTTAAGCTCCTTTTACGACGGGATCAAGGGCACCGAAGATGAGCACATGAATGTGCAGCTGCTCAGAACCAATGATAACCAAAAGGTGTATAACTCAAAACTTCTCGCAGAAGCGGTTCCAGAACTACCAGCGACCCTATCTCCTACTACTGCTTTGTCGCCATGGCTAAGTGTGCTGAATCCATCCAACCCAACAGAGAATGACGCAATGGGAAAAACAGTGTACAGAAGATGGCAACATGTCTTCCCTAAGCCAGTGCTCACTAGAACGATGAAATGGAAATCTCTCTGTTCTCCCGCATCCGTGCCCTTGACCACCGAGTCGTTTCCTACAAAGTTTCAACTTGAAACCGAATATCAGCAGAAGCCATACAATATCTCACAAAATTCCGAGGATGAAATTAGCGAAGATTCAAGTAATCGGGAAGACTTTTTAAGGGAGTTGATTAGCTTACGACTTTCCCAAGGGTTTCAGATTGTTATCGGTCCTGGGGTAGCCGAGGCATTTGGACAAAAGTCTCTGAAGATCGCGGATGTTTTTGACCGTGATCGTATTGCTGAGGATGGAGCCAGTGTATTCATGTCCATGGGAAATATAATTCATCAGTTATCTTGCGTGAATGGTACAGAAATCGAAGTCAATATGTTTGTCCGAAAACCTACAGCTCTGACTACACCTAGCCAAGGGACATTGAGCCCCTCTGGATACTATCCGGCCATTCGAACTACTTTGAGCGAAACCTATAAATCGCGCAAAATGACGTTGGGTCGACCAAAGGATGAATATAACTGGAATTACGTAGACTCCTTCATTGCGGGCTTCGAAGACGACATGAACGAGCACCTCCGGTTCTGGCGTGCAAGGTTTGTGCTGATTCCTGTGGTACGCCCAACTCAGTCTCGACGAGACCGCATGAGAGGTGAGGATAACGAAGAAGAAGTCCGACTAGAAGGCATCAGGAAGCTCACTCAAATGTGGCAAAGCCACAGATACGTTCCACCATCAGAGCGGCGTTTCCATAGTCTTGCCTCCAGGAAAATAAAAGATTCAAATCCACTTGACATTGTGTATAAGACGGAGGATCCATCCGTTGTTGTTAGCGCAGAACTCGAGACTTTACCCCTTGTGGAGACAAGTGAAAGTGCAACTAGACGTGGGCACTTAATTGACACTGATCGTTTTCGAAAATCCAAACTTGATATTGCCGCCTTGGCGGAAGCTATCCAAGCACCAGTGGAGAAGGGCGGTGTCCGTATGCAGAATCGAAGATGGCATTTTCGATTGCATTATAATTGTTTCATCGGCTCTGATATGACGACATGGTTACTTGAAAATTTTGAGGACATTGAAGATCGTGATCAGGCAGTGGAATTGGGCAACTTTCTTATGGTTGACGAGACACAGAGGTTGAGAGAGAAGGAAGTTGGTAAAGATGCAGGCATATTTGTCCATGTCGAAAAACGTCATCCTTTCCGAGATGGGCAGTATTTCTACCAAGTTACTGGAGAATTTGCCAAACAGAGACCGGATAGTCGCAGTGGTTGGTTCGGCTCTCGACGCCGTGAAAATTCTGTACCTTCGACTCCAATGTCAGATGTTATGCCCAAAGACTCTCCTCAACCAGATAGAGCAAGGTCCAGCTCTACGCAAGATGATAGTTCACACGAGTCGGGTGTGCCAACTCCAACTACATGTGGGGGCAAAAGGCCCAAAGTTTCTTTAAGTAAAGTTATGAAGTATGATGTTGACCATCGAAAACGCTCTTATCGACCCGAACTCATCAATCTTCACTATGATCGTCTTCATAATCCTGACAATTGTTACCACATTCGAATTGATTGGCTCAATGTCACCGCTAAGCTGATCGAGGATGCCATACATACGTGGGCAACAACCGCTGAACAACATGGCCTACGATTAGTCGAAGCACCAATTGGCGAAGCATGTTCCATCGCTTCGGTTCATCCATTCAGGAGCCCCTACTTGATTGAATTGTCTTTGCAGCCTCCTGATCAACAGCCCCGAACATACTTTGACGTCAATTCTTTTACTCCGCAAGCACAAACTACTCAATCTAATCGACATTACTACCAAAAAGCAATTATGAAGAAGTTCAATTTTGTTCTTGATATTGAGGCTGCGAAGAATTTTCCAAGCAATATTGATGTGTCGTTCTCATGGGGTCGACCAGATTATACCTATACACAGTACATTCATAGATCTGGAGTATTACTTGCACAAATTACAGATGAAGGCAATTTCCTCCTATTAGCGAATCGACTGTACAATAATAGGACTACATCGGCCAGAGATACAGAAAAATACATGAAAGTGGATCATGCGGGCGTTAATCGCATGGGACCCAGTCCAATTGCAAACAATCCAGGAATCGCTGCAAATACATCCAGCCCCTTTCAATCGCCAATCCTGCGTGCGGCTCATGCCCCTTCTCCTCTTCTTCGTGCGACCCACCCCCTTTCCCCTTCATTACGAGCGACAGCTGATGTACTAGGCGCTTCCCTTCCCAATTCAAAACTAGCTATCACCGGTGGAATTAGTCCTGACACCATCAAAGCCGAACTTGAAGAATTTTGTCACAATAGCTGGAAACTAGAACTCTTCTATAAAGAAGTTTTTGAAAAAGTCACACCACCACATGCGACCCCACCAACGCTCAGAAGTTCATTCCCGGCTATGCTTCTCGACTCGAATATTCCGACATTGGGATTGCCGCCGGGGATCTTGACAAGAGATGGAAGGGATAGTAGTCCGACACCAATGAGGTTGGAGCGGGTGCCGGGAGTTGGAAGTAGTATACCCGTACTTGGGAGGAGACCGAGCGTACAGATGAGTATTGCGACCAGCGCAAGTGACTTGTCGAGGCAGGAAAGTCCAAGGGGGAGTATAGCTGAAGGTTAACGTTCTCGAAAATTAATAGCTAAAAATCCCAAAACTCGACTAGGCATCATGGGAGCTGGTCTCTTAAACATGGCTCGACTGGGGCATCTGAGTGCTTTCGATTTTGTAGGATACCGAAAACAGGCAGATGGAGGTTGGAGTTCTACTTTATTTGTTCGGGAATCTCGAGATGTGTATGCAAATATTATGGATTGGAACACCAAGTTCGAAAGTAACGCCTGTGCATTTGGCAACATTGAACGATCACGATTCAAAACTTTTACCAAGTACCATCGTTCCCTCACTGTCACACTACCTTGAATCTGATAAAGACTGTGATGTCGAGTTATTTAGGGTCATCTAATAACTATAATGCAAAGATTACCCCTGAGTATGGATGTTCTTGAAGGTATTGGTCTTTGGTTGCCTGTGGATTTCGACCTGGTGAATCTTTCGCGTAAACTCTGTAGATTCAAAGCTCTCGAAAGCTCCCTTCCACAAGCTTTTTCTTGTATAGCTCGGCAACTTGGGCATAATCATTGCAGGCGTCAAGGAAACTTCAGTTTCTGCTATCGTGCCTGGAAAACTTTCCTAGTTCGCTCCACAACTAGAGACAGTCGAGATTATTTTTGACCTCCCTTTAACTTTCTGCAAACTAATCAATCATGCTTCTGTTGCTTTGTGTCTGAAGGGATGCATTCTAGACGTACAACGGTACGCACGATGAAATGGTGAACATCAGAATCGTGTCAAAACTGTTCAGACGTTAAGCCGACGTCTGTTATCTTCAGAGAGAGAAAAATAGGAGGATGAAGTTCAACGGTTATCAAGACTCGAAACCACTGCAGGTGGGCATTGTTTGTTCATACGCCACATGTATTTCTCTCAAGTCATTCATTGAGACAACCGAAACATTCGCCTTTTCAAAATGACTTTCTTCATTCATTCCATGCCATTCGTCGCTCAACAATTCGTCGGTGGATCATGTAAGACTTGGGTATCTACGATGAGTTTCATCGACCTTATATCGTTATCTCATCTTATTCGGCCAATCACTGTTGTTTGCATAGTTCCATCCCAATTTTTTTCTCATGGTTCACACAAATTGGGCATAAGCAAAGGTTGTCACGCCTATTGCATGTCTAAGATCGCATCAATATGTCACACCATTCGAACATTCAAGTCAACCACAATCTTTCAATTTATATCAATAAATCAGTCTACTTCAATAACTGAAAATATCGCAAGATACCAAAGCGTGTATTCGTCTGTCTTTATCATAAGTGTAGTATACTTAGGCATCATTTTGAGATTCATACACGTTTAAATGTCTACAATCCATTCAGATCAACCTCACCTCAACCTTCGTTCATATCTCTCAACTCTACAATGCAGACAATATTTCACATGATTCTGGATACTAAACACGCAATGTATATCACATTCACCAGGAATTGCACAACCCCCTCATTTGGATTTCGTTTTGATTCAGTCAAATATCTGCATTTATCATTAAGCTATGGCTACTATATACTTAAAAGACTAATTTGAAGTACACTACTGGTATAGAAAAGAAGCATAATCCACATCCATGCTATGGTGCAATTCACCCGCTCAACTTACAATGACTATACCCACAATATCAACGCTCAATCAAATTATATCAAAGAATGTCCCTATCAACTGTATTCTCTTTAAATCTTCAATGTAGCATTTCCTGCCGCTGTTGTAGCAGATCCCTTATTTACCACCCCCCCAGCTCCTACAGTGGGTCCAACGCCCGGAAGCGTGAAGTCTGGGTAATTTGGCCATTCTCCCAATCTCGCTGGGTCACCTCCAATTCTCACCCATTGTCCTACACTTGGAGTTACATTATCCAGTACAAAGAGCATGGCCCAGCTCGGCGGATACACATGTGCATTAGGGGGTGTTGTAATCGAACACTGCATATTTGCTGCTGTGCCAGAGCAGGAGAAGGCTGGAAAGAACGTTCGCTGGCCGAAGGAATTCCCGTGGGTAGCTCCTACGGCTGCCATAAGAGATATGCGAACGGTTGATGGATTACCTCGGTAGAGAGTAGCGGCTATGTTAATTGTATCACCATAGCCGAAATCGTTGCCGTTTGAAAACGTGAAGCTTGGTTGGGTAACACCATTCAATAAGTAGGGAGGTAAAAATACCTCGACGCGATATTCTTGGACAAATCGAGTGTCTTCTGGATCACTACCAGTGACTAGCACTCTGCCATCTGGAACCAGCACGGCTTCGTTGTGGTAAAGGCGATCGATAGTTGTGTTTGCCAAAGAAGACATTCGGGAATTCAGAGGCTTCGACGGATCGTAAAGAACAGCATTATGGTTGGGTTCGGTAGCAAGGCCAAAGCCAGCGAAGCCTTGTTGAGCCCCATTGAGAATGAGAAACGTGCCGTCGGGACTAAAAGTACCAAGTTAAAAATGCGTGGTGTAGATTTTTGAGGGGAAAGCTTACAGGGCTACCATAGATGACACCACTCTTTTCGAAGGCTGTACACCCTTGTTAACAAAGTCTCTTGAGTAACATAATAGGGGCCAAAGCTTACCATACGCTCAATAGTCCAGTTTGCGCCAGGTACCTCAGGTTTGAGGGATACACAATTGTCCAACGCGATTTCTGGACCTGGGGTAGAGCCTCCGCAAATCATCACTACGAGTGGATCTGTATAAGGTGCATTTTGAGGCATCAAAACAGCAGTGCCTTCCATGGGATACGTCCTTCCACCCAGGAAATTATTTACCGCAGCAGGGATATTCGGTAATACTCTTTGAGTTTGCAAAGTAACCTCGTCTAAAATCCTCGCCTCGTTGTAATATGCAATGAAGATACCTCCAGATGGAAGAACCGCAAGATATGGATACAAGTTGTACGGATCCGTACGAGCCAGATAGTCGCAATAGAGCACATCCCCTCCAGGAGGGCGAGGAATAATTTCCAAGGAAGGAACGGCTGCGCCATTGGAGCCCACTTCGCCACCTACCACGAGGATGCTTCCATTGGCCATAATCATTGCTGAGGGATACCATCGACCCGTCTGCAGACCAATCTCTTGATAATTTTCTTCCCAATCATTCTTGCTTGGTACTCCAGGTGCCCCGTCTGGAGTATAAAAACGTACACCTAGAGTTGAGGGAAGTGCCCAGCCCCCGATATTTATCTGACGCCCAAGACGATCGGGGAGAATTATACTGGCAGAACAAAAGACGTCTGTCTTCACATGCATGGGCCGCCATGCTGCCGTATAGTTATTGATCTGGGTAAGGTCGAGCTCATAAGCACCAGTGCTGTTGTTTGCTGGCGACGTTCCGAATTTTTCCAGAAAAGAAATCTTTCCGTTGATGCCAACAGCGGATGTCAATGGAATGATTGGCCCTGTAAACTCATCAGTCAAGCAGTCAGACGATCTTGGTATTATAGCCTACCTCCAATGAGGAACTCGTATTTTCCGGCAGAATTTCCGCTCTCAAAAGTCCAGCTGTTGAGTGGGGTCCCTGTCCAAGTGTAATAGGTAATCAAGGACGGCCCACCACAATATGTATCACGATTACCAGTGCAAAGCATGACACATTGCGAATCATCAACAATCGTAGCCTTGTGGTTGATAACATCCTGTACATCACCGCAAACTATGAATGAAGTCAACACAAAGTCTGATCTGGAACGTTACATGAAAGGGAAACAAAATTAGATGCCAATAGCAAATGCAATTTAAAGAACCACGCACAATTCAAGGAGCTTTTAGGTGCATCAAGTCATGAAAAGAACTAGCAGAACAAACGGGAACTCACAGCATTGATTCGAATATTCCATACCCCCAGCACTATATCCAAATTCAGAACACAAGCTAAGGCAATTTGTGGCTGTGTTGTTATTTGTAAGTGCGATTTGATAAGGGAACACTCTATTCACAGCATCGTCACTGCATGGTGATCAGCTCTAATCTTTTGTGTCGCAATACTAGCACGTCATATGCGACGAACAATTTGAAATTGAGAGTTGCACCTACGTGAGACACCCCTTATATTTCCAATTGCCTGGTAAACTCGTGTTCTGTATTACGGGTAGTTGTCGCACGATCAAACTTGTTTGATTAGAATAAATGCTCATACGATCGCCTATTGAATTTAGGAATTAGCATTATTTACGTTTGGCAAAGGACAAAGATTGTATTGTAGAACGACGATGTAGATGTATAAGGTAAGGGGACAAGCGACGCTACAGATGGGACATAGGATTGAGAGTGCAAGACCGCAAATACTAACCTCCACCACACATTTGATTTGCATTTCCGCCGCACGGAGTGTTGCACTGAGAATCTGAGGATGCCAAGGCTCCCAAATTAATAATTGCAGAGTCGCAATAACATTGTGTGTAGTATTCCATTCCAGCTATACTATATCCTGCTGTGATACAGTTTTGTATGCAGGATTCCACAGTCATATTGGCATCGTTAGGCAGATTGTCGGCGAGGATACTACCACGACCAAGGGCTCGGTCAACCCAGCATCCTTTGTAGGTCCATCCTTTTGGAAGATCTGTGATCGTGGCCGAAGGGACAGTGGCACTGATTGTCGTGGGTGTTGGCGTAGGCGGTAAACTCGTTGCGGTGTAATTGTATAGATTTATCCGCCCGGAACTACAAGATAATTAGTCATTGATTCTCGCGAACTCTCTCGGAGAAAAGAATCAATGTGCAACGACGACGCTAGAAACAATACTCACCCTCCGCAAAATTGTGTCAAGTTCCCTCCGCATGCCATATTACAACCCGTTGCTGGAGCGCCATAGTTTTCAATCTCGTGGTCGCAATAACACTCACTACCATACTCGACGCCCGAGAGTCTGTAACCTCCGAGAATGCAGGCGGAAAGACATGCATCGACGCTCATGGATGTCCCGGCAATGGAATATATCTGCGTGGTGAGGGTACGTGCATTCACGCTATCATTGTAGCACCCAAGAGGTACCCACCCAGACGGTGCTCCTGTAAAGGTAGGAACGGGAATAGAGCTTGTCGTGAGAGTAGGAAGCGAGACTATAGCATTGTTCAAATCATAAAGACTTAATCTGGCGGAACCACCACATGTTTCTGAAGCATTGCCATTGCAAGGCATATTACAGCCCGTCTCGCCATCAGAAGCTAGGCCCCCGCCATTGAATATGTTATTCGCGCAATCTTATGATTGTCAAATTAAAGCTACAAGCTTGACTAGGGCTTGCCACTTACAGCATTCTCCTGAGTATTCAGCTCCAGCAAGTACGTAACCAAGGTTTTGACATGTCGATTGGCAGATTTGAATTGTCAAAGCTGCCTCTCCTCCTGGAGTGACTACATTAGTAGTGAGCGTGCGAGCCCCCACGTTGTCGCTAACAATGCTGAATCAGTAAAATTTTGTATGAGGGTTTTCAAGCGCGAGTATACGGAAAATGGAAATAGTAAAAGCAATTTTCAGTCAGAGACTCGGCTACCAGCTTTCTGCGTTGCAATATGCCAGTCATTTAAGGTATATTGATGGGAGGGTATAGAATGCAAGCCATCGATTGCTCTATCATCGATGGGCCCCTTGCACCCTCAATTGGAACCTCTTTCTTCAAAGGATGGAACTTTCAACGAAAAATAAGGGTGTGCTTGGCAATGTAACAATGTAAATATATACCTGTAGCAGCCCACATATGACCATGTATCTGCTCTTGGTAGGACAGAATGACTCCCTGAACGCGCTTCGGAACAAGTAAACTATCGAACAAAAGCTAATTAGCAGATGGAATACAGGGCGGCAATCACAAAAAGCTAGCATTAACATACCGTCATGGATAGACTTAGCGCTGCAAAGGCAAGCCGAAGAAAAGGAAGAGCCATGATTGCAGTTGCTAGCAATCACCGTTCAAATGCACGTTGGGAAAGACTGTCGCTCAATGATATACACGGGAAACGGAGAAAGAAAGTGAAAAGATCTGCACTCGGAGAGAGAACTCCATCAACCTGCTTAAGCTTTACAGTCTTGGATTACAGTGACAAGAATTGACAAGAATTGCCATGACCTTCCACATGATGGATCACTGATCCTCGGATCCTTGGAGGCTGACAGGAACCAGCTTGAATGTTGCCTTTTCTCTTTACGAACAGCAAAATTGTATAGTTCTCACCTGTTGATTCGTATTATTTGCTTTCATCTGGTGCAAGGCATACCCCGTGGATTCTCTCTGGTTATCTCCACATTGTCGAAAGTGGTATATGGTACCAGAAAGTTATTTCCAAACAGTATGATCATGCATGTACCGCAAAACAGGCATTACAAATCCTTGGGTGTTTCTTTCTTTTTCGCGAATCCTTGTCTGCGGCTCGAGGGTTCCTGATGACCTGGAATTTGAATCTCGTTCGGACATTTTCCACGGCTCGGTTTGGATACCGAAAGAGGCACGACATCCGCCAACAACTTAGCTAACAAATGAACAACTGAGAGCATGACTGACTGTGCAGATACGTGAAGTATTGACAGGCTGAAGAACCTGTGTGGCAAGTCTCACGGTAGCACCTACGAAGTTACGAGGTATGACAATCATGATAGGGCTCGTCGCCACCAAAAGTGAGGTCATAGAATGGGATGGATCGTGTCATTGGTAGATGCAAAGCTTATTCATGGCCGTTTAACAATTGCATAGGTACACTATTGTATATTGATGTACTGCATCAACCTGCAGCCTGAGTAAGTGGAGATAGCCGTAGCCAAACTATTGAGTGAGATGATGTGCTGGCGATACAATGGTCCAAAATCGAGGGATATCTGCACGCAGAACCATGTAGGTATATTAGAGTTTGACCAGCACGAAAACATTTTATACCAGTCTATACGATGTCGGAGCAAAGAACGTTGTTGGTTACCCGATATTGTATTTCAGGGTTTCTTTTGGTCCAAAAAAACGTTCAATTAAGCTTAATGTGGCGGAGGTGGCTAGGAAACTAGGAGCATTGTTATACCCCTTGTGAAGAATCCCTTGCAAAATTGATGACCCACTATATTTCAATATAACATATTAATCATGCATAGCCGAAAAAGGAAACTCGATCTGATAGGTCTACACGGATAGAAGAGTTGCGATATCAAGTCTAGACTCGAGCAATACACTTGAAGCCCAATCCTACTCACGGTAAACGAAACAGAGTACGCATGTAACGTAGTCTCTGATGGAGTAGTGAACTAGAAAGCCATCGGAGAAGATGACATGCTTATCTTTTTACGATACCGAGTCAATGATACTCAACAATGTGTATCTACCTACTATGTTGTAGGAGAATCTGACCATTCCCGAGTCATTGGCAAGAGATAAAGAAACGATGATACCATAATTCTTTTCCGATGTGCAAAATTAGAATACCCAAGATGTTTATTGATCGGCCCGGAATTCATGACACATTCAAGGGTAGGGTTGCATTTACCCGGTCACCACATGTAAAGCAGACACGACCGAATTAATCCTTGAAAATTCGAGAACACCATCTTTTTGTATGCCTAGTCTTCGTGTATGCAGTTCTTATCAGTGACTTTCCAACAGTCATGAAAGTGTAGATGAGTGTGTAGGATTGTACATTTTATTATCCGTTAGGAGGCTTCATTTACCGATTACTCCTCTAATCTTCCCATGTGTATCGTCCCGAAATTTGTTCCATGCAATATCAAAACCAAATTAAGCACCCGTCTTATCTACCTCACTTCTTATATTTTGCTTACTTGAATTATACTATCTCTTTCGATTTCGTTCTCAGCTCGGGCTTCCGCAAGTCCCCTGCGAGTACATCTTGACACTTTTGACAGTCATTCCTCTGTCTTCGGGCGGCCCCCACGTTGGGCCCCACTGACTTGAAGCGTTCCAGAACTCTGCCGGGGCCGTCAGACTAGCATCTCCCCACGGTTTGTTGCCAACCTTATCACTATTGGCAAAGTTAGTTTTCATTGTACTTGCAAGCCGCGCGCGACTAGACAACTCACGGGAAGTATCCATTGGTCCCGCCCACTGCCACGCTATTTAATGTGAGCAAAGTTATCATCATGCCATTTTATGCTCAAGGTAATCTTACTTCAGAATAAGATAGAAAGCCTGGTCAAATGGAGTGGCTGGATTTCCCGTTTGACTCCATGGATCATGTAATGCCGAGTTGTTCACAATTGTCTTGCCGAATTCTCCTCTATTCCACATACTGTTATATCCCTTACTGAAAGAGAGGTAGAATACTTGCTACACCAAAATCAGTTCTGAACAGGCTACAAGACGAGAATAATAAGATTCATGGAGGTCATACCAAGAGACGACTGTTGATATAGGTGAAGATATAGTCTTCACTCCATTCAAGGCCATATGTATAGTAGCTTTCACTGTAGTCGGTTCGTCGAATATTGTGTTTTCCATCTGTCTTCCAGAAGGCGTCTACTTGAGGAATTGGGCCCCAATGCTTCGATAGTGGTCAGCTTAAGTCTGGTTTCAAACTAGATGGATCATACCAAAGCAGATATAATGCTGTCTCGACCTCCGTCGTATGTAGCCCCATCATTACCTTTACTTTCAGCGAGATCTATCTCACCACTAGCAGGCCATGGTCCGTAAACAGAGTCTTCTGGCATCATCCTGTTCCAAGTAAGTAACTTCCAATGTGAAGGAAGATGGAAATTCACCATATCGCTGGCCATAACCAATCACCCTTTGGCATCTTTGCAATGACTTCAATTTTGCCATATTTGATGGTTTTCTTCCCCTTGGTCGACAACCTTGCGCTTCGAACCGGATTTATAATGGTACCGGCGGTAATATTGCTGTACATAGAACAAGAAGAGCCCGCATCATCAGATGTACACACGCCATCAGGCCTGTTGTCGGTAGTCAAGTTTAATGTATACCCGTTCAAAATCTGAGCAGGTGTAATATTTGTTGAATTGACTGTCAATGTTGGGACGATATGAAGCCCATCGGCATCAGTATAAGCATTTTGAGGGTCATTTGTGGTCCATTCAAAGGATCCAGTACTAGTTTCATCAGTTGACAGATCTTTCAACGCAATTCAGTGATTTGAACTGACCCAAAGCCGCCTCGTTGAATCTCATAACTCCATATACTGGGGTCTATGTTATGGAAATCGTCTTCAAACATAAGACAGTATGGATTGTTTGGGACTGATGTAAACCCAATGTAGCACATGATGCCGCCAAGCCCAAAGCCAATGATAATACTTGTCCAGAAAATTATTGAATCCCAAGTTCGTCCAGACCACTTCTTGCGTTTTCCCTCTGTAGCAACCTTTCCTAGCCATGGCTTTTCATAGCTTTCTTATGTTAAGTATCTGTTACTCCGGGATAAAGGTTCAAACTTACTCGCCAATAAGCCTAGCACTCTTAAAACGGCGCTGTCTTGGAGGTACAATATCTAAGCCATCTCCAACGGTCAGCAATTTATCCAACGTTTAGAGTGCTATTTCCATACCTGAAATTGAAGAAGCTTCCCCTGGTGATGAAAATCGGTCACTTGGTATACTTGTATGGGAGAATTCGTGATTTGGTGTTCCTGGCTGAGAGAGAAGTTGAGGTGTTCCGGGGGCAGAAGCTCGGTGGATTTGAGGATCTTGCGCAGTCAGGGATGTACTGTGTGTTGACATCTTGAGGATTCTCTACTCTCTGCAACTTTGAAAAGATTGGGATAAGTCGCTGGATAACTTATCGAAAAATCACAATCTCAATTTGGACGCTTGACTGCTTCTATTCACCCACGCACTTGCCCGAATATCCCCACGAAAAATTTATGGTATGGTAGAAAATATTTCCAAGATAAGAGAAATCTCCGATAAATAAGCTAAAATAAATCGATACATTTCAATAATGGTATTGTCGAATACGGCATGGGCGACAGAGTACCTTGTATCTGCATCAATCCCTGAAGCTTTGGACGTTTTCTGCCAGCCTCATAAGAAGAAATGAGAGGAGTAAGCGAAATGATACCCTAGTAGATCTGCATGCACTGGTAATATCGCCGATAATGAGTGTGTACGCGATATCGAAAATTGATTATGATAACAGAGTTACAGACATGAATGTTCAGCTATGTTCAATCAGAACCATAGCATCTGTCGGTATCCAGTAGTTGTGAACCATTCTCAACTAGTGTTTGAAAGACTCAAAGGCCAAAACGAAGCTAAAGGCGGATGTAACCTCAAAATCTTAAAGGCGTCAATCCACGATAATGATTGAACTGTCCGAGCCGCTAGGCCTGAAAACATATGATGCGATGTCTTATATGGGATGATGGCACTGTAACACTTTGCAAGAATGCATGTGAATATCGATATTGAATACGAGAGTTCAGGAACCTGCAGATAGGTCTCATCTTTGTGGTAATGGTTACTTGATTGGACGGAAGACGAACGGTTAAAATCAGAGAAAATCGAATATGGGGTTGAAGGAAAAGTCATAACAATGAACTCAAATCAAAATTCGAAACAACGGTTCAGATGATCCAGAAGGAAAGGTGCATGTTGGGGTATTTCGTTTGTATTACCGAGAAAAAGGGGTGGTTGAGATGTCGGGATATCGAAATGATCGACATTAAAAATTCCTAACGAGAGTTCAGGGTGGAAAAACATTGAATTGTTCACTTCCTTGTATGAGTTGTACAAAGTGCGAATTTGTCGACCAACGAACAGCCAGAACTACAGTGTTATCTGTACCACTGAGTAACATGCAAGCAATTTGAAGATGGAGGGGTAGCGGACAGGGTATTTTAGCGATTGATTTAGGGTAAATAAGCCTACGGTGGGTCTGTGACCCCTAAAAGCTTATAGTAACATATCACTCCGGGGTCTGCACCTAAATTCGTTATTAGTATTAAAAGATTTAGGAAGTACCCTGCTGTACCAAGGGGCCAAGGGCTGGCAGGATCTGAGCCCGTCTAGTCTTATGGGGAAATGGAGAGTTCCAATCTAGCTTACTTATATTGCGTTACTATGAGCCTCGATTTAGCCAATCACATCAAAGCAAACACCGGACGAACATATTTGGACACTTTGGTGGCCAATGGTTTGCTGCTCTCGCATGTATCTTCTTAATCTCCCCAGGATCTCAGAAGGATTTCCGAATAATGAGGAACCCATCAATTTCAATATCCTGGTCTTTTTGCGGAATCTGGATGATATAGCCATGTACAACAAACCCCTGGTCAATGTCAGTCTCTCAATACTTCGAAGCTTCATATTGTTGAGCCATTCAACGAAAAAGCTTTCCGTATAGACTTATCTATTTCATTGGAACTACCAGAGATAACACACGTTCCCAAGCCTCCTACCTTATCGTCGGACCATATTGCTATTCTTAGGTCAATACTCTGCATCCTGCATGCGTGGAGATATAGATGAAGCCACAACTTTCGTCCAAAGACACTATACATCTATAAATCTGATCCAATAGTATAGGCTTCCCGCAGGAGATGTGGCTACTGCCTGCTGTGTCACCGAGGCTATAAGCCACGAGCTCAATATCTTAGATGTAGTATTTGTGCTAAATTCGTGTTTTTCATCCCGGTCGTTGAAACTAACCTAAATTTCGATATTCCGTCGCCCTCAATCAGCTAGCTCGAACAATATACAGACAGAAAGCTCACGGTCTTCGATTTCCTCCTACAGCCGCCATTACGAATTTGTTGGCAAGTGTAATATTGACTTCCGATTTTCGACGAATCCCGTCAACTGCCTACGATCTAATCCGCGTATCGATTACTGATAATCTCAGGTTCCCACTCTTTCAGTCTAGACTTGCAGCTCTTCAATTCCTGGTTCAAGTTGGTATTAGATTTTCCCCAATCTCAAACCTACTACATCATGTCTGAAGAGTTCAACTTTCAACTGCGCTCTGGTGAGCAGCTGCCAATTCTCTCAGATACACGCACTATGATGGCAGAACGTCATCAGAGTGCCCCAATACCTTCCATGATCCGCCCAGAAAGTCTGGCGCCAGCCTCGCGACCCCATAGCATTATGAGCACAGGGTCTGCAGGAAGCCGCGATCGTCATACTCTGGTATGTCTTTCGGTTACATAGTTTACTATATATTATTTCTCCCTCCAAAATACTTGAAATGATTTCTGGCTTTCGCCTGATGATGGTTTATAGGTTGCGAAATATCTTCAAAGACGATGCAGTGCTGCAAAATGGCTTCAACCTATCGAGGAGGAGAATGGCACCATCAACGAATCGTCGTGGGTGGGTGTTGCTATGCGGCTTCCGGATGGTAGTTACTACACTGAGCCACCAAACGTTGATAACAACTTTTACACCGTGATGCAATATCTTGGTTGCAAAGTTGCCTTTACAATGTCTTCAGATATCACTGCAGCATTGATGGACCAAATTGGCCCTTTTCAAACAGAAGTCCAAGTACATCCACGCGGAATCAGACTTCCAATTGTCCAAAATCTCTCAGAACTTGCATACGGAGGTACTGGAGTATCAAAGAAGTCGTACTTATGTGTGTTGAGAGAAGAGAGGCTTGTTCTCATTTGGAATGAATCGGTTGAAAGTATTATGACCCACGGTGCAGATGTTGAAGGTATTCTCGTTGGTCTGGTTAGTAAAATCAACTGAAAATAGTTTGGACTGTGCTTACGGAAAGTAAAATAGATCTGGGGATCTCACATTGGTACCATGACAGCTACTTCTCCATACGCATCCATGACTCCACCTATTGGACAGACGCCAGGTCAAACTCCCGGACGAACCCCATCGGCCATCAGTGAGGACCCTGAATTTAATGAAAAAATGAACATTGTTCAAGCCGCGATCGAGCGCGAAGAAAACAAAGACACAATCTTCAATCCAGATATCGAGGCCGCGGCACCACCAGAAAGGCCCTTTCTGTTATTACATGCTGGTGTCATTGGATTTGCCATGACTTTGGTGGTATTCGTAGAGATGCTTTGTGCGTCGCGATTAATAACAGAGTATCAATGGGACGGTGGTGTACTTAGGTTTGCACTTGTCGCCGTTATTCCATTCTTCGTTTCCTTCTCTCTGGTAAGACATTTTCAGCCACTTTGTACGTGGCGTAAGCCTCAAGTACAACAGAAAATACCGATGATTCCCCGGACGTAACTAACATGTTTATCATCAGTTTTTCATGGTTGTCATTGCGGGAAGCCTATTCCAATTATTTGGACCGTTGACATATGTTCGGAAGAATTCTCAGTTCTATTCGGCCAAGCCGCCCAAGAGGGGCCGTTACCCCGACTTAGAGCTGCCACACATCACCATTCAGATGCCAGTATATAAAGAAGGATTAAAAGGGTATGCAGCCACTAGGATCTTATTTTGAAGCAGCTGACTGATGGAGATAGTGTTATTATTCCCACTGTCACCAGTATACTGGCTGCTATTCGTTACTATGAAGCACAAGGAGGCTCTGCTTCAATCTACGTCAATGAGGATGGAATGCAAGCTGTAGATCCCGAGCTGTGTGAAGCTCGAAAGACATTTTATGAGTTGAACAATATCGGCTACTGCTCGCGCCCAAAGCATACCCACAGCAAAAAGAAATGGTATCAGGGAAAGAAGGTACAAGATAACCCCGAAGGATTCCAGCGAAAGGGCCAATTCAAAAAAGCATCGAACATGAACTACTGTCTCAGTTTCTCTATTCGAGTTGAAGACGAGTTACTGAGACTGATTGCTGCAAAAACTGCAGCGGAAGATAGACCCCAAGGCGATATCACTCCAGATGAGGAAGATGTGCTTTACAAGCAGGCACTAGCGACTTGTCTCGAGCAAGATGAAGGACGGACTATGGCTGGAGGTAATGTTCGTATCGGTGATATCATTTTAATCATTGACAGCGACACTCGAGTGCCTGAAGACTGCCTTTTGTTAGGCGCATTGGAAATGCACGAGAGTCCTCAAGTGGCTATTCTACAACATGCCTCCGGGGTCATGCAAGTTGCTAATAATCCTTTCGAAAACGGAAGCAAGTATTCCTGGTAGAGTTCATCAGAAAGAACACTAACAGTTGACAGTTACTTACTTCACAAACCTCATCTACATGTCTATTACCTTCGCAGTAGGAAATGGTGATTGTGCTCCATTTGTTGGCCACAATGCCTTTCTACGATGGAAAGCTGTACAGAGCGTAGCTTATGAAGAAGATGGACAATTAAAGTTCTGGTCTGATGGTACGTCGCTTCAATATCTCGCCTATACTATAATCTTCTAACATCTTGCTAGATCACGTCTCCGAGGACTTTGACATGAGTCTTCGACTTCAAATGGCCAAATTTATCGTGAGACTGGCAACTTACCACGAGGGTGGTTTCAAAGAAGGTGTATCACTTACTGTTTATGACGAACTTGCTCGATGGGAGAAATACGCATATGGATGTAACGAATTAGTCTTCAATCCCATCTACAAGTGGTGGCGAGGCCCATTCACGAAAATTTTTATGAGATTCCTTTGGAGTGACATCAAGCTCACCTCTAAAATCACTATTCTAGCTTATATCGGAACTTGTAAGTATTCACATCCTCAAAAGTTGGCCTAGCACTGATTATTTACCAGACTACGCAATTGCCTGTGCCATTCCACTTACCTTGGCAAACTATATCATGGTCGGCTGGTTCAATGACTCACTAGATCAATTCTACCTCACCTCCTGGAAAATATTCGTCGGTATGGCCGTAATTTTCAACGTCCTCTCACCCCTCGCCTTCGCCATGTTACGTCATCGCCTTGGCGAAAAAGTCTTCGTCTCCTCCATAGTTGAAACCGCAAAATGGACTCCCATGTTTGTTCTCTTCTTTGGTGGCATATCCTTCCATCTTTTGACTGCCATCTTATGCCATTTCTTCAGCATCAAAATGGAATGGACAGCTACCGCCAAAGAAGTCGAAGCTGGTGGCTTTAGAATTGGTTTAGATAAAATCTTTCGTGATTTCAAGTGGATGTATCTAGTGATGATTCCAGTTTTGGGGGGAATGGTGTACTTGGGAGCTTTTGCACCTCGTGGCTTCGAAATAACGGACTTCACAGCCATCGTACCCCTTTCAAATCAAGTGGCATGCCATATTCTACTTCCTGTAAGTGTCTCTTATTTCACTATAAATATCTTTTAGGGTGCACTGTGACTAACAGCATCTCAGTTTGCGCTAGGACTTTTCTAGATATCTTTCATGAACAATCCAATATCCGCACATCATTGTATATAACACCTCAACTATCATACACTTCATAATTACTCTTCTTAGGAGAATGATTATCTCAGAGATAGTTAGCATCAGAACGCGAACCTAGAACGGACGAAGAAGAGGGCGTTCACAGCACTTGACTGTCGAGTCTTTCATCGTAATTCAACGAGGAAATCCACTCTTTGAAATTTGGAAGAAAACATGTGATTAGGGCGAGTTGGGTAGACCAAAATTTTTTGTCGAAGCCTTTTAGAAGAGCAGGATATAACAGAGCGTAGCAAAGAGTTACATTGGACCATGAAAGAAATAAGATGCAACATACACAATAATAATATAATTTATTTTCAAATCTTGAGAGGGGAATGTGCAGCACATTGGCAATCCACACGATCCTATCGTAGATATCTTACATTTCAATTGACTAATCATGTTTCAAGGACTGGCATGACGTCCACGAAGTTTCGTATGTAGTGGCATTCTAAGAGTGCCAAATTTTTTGTCACTGGCATCCCTTATTCCAGATTGAGCCTCGCTGCTCGCCTCTGCATCTGAGTACATCATGGAATTGCCCGAGGACTCATCCACCGGCGGTGTTTTCGAGTCTAAAGCCTCCCTTGCATCTTCGGAAACATTCTTCTCCAAAGGTACATCAACTGAAGAAGCATTTATTACACCTTTATCCTCCGACAGGGCGTTTAAAAGTTCTACGTTCCGTTTCATTGCCTTTATTCTAGCTTTCTCTTGCCACTCGGCCTTAGCCAAACATAAATCAATCTTCTCCTCTACCAAGCCCTTGATATGAAACGCCAAGGCCTGGCTGTGGAATACACCTGTAAATCTGTAACTCAACCAGAGGTAGAGTGTGATATTTTTGTGTAACCTTTCAATACTGCGAACATACATTTCCCGTTCCTGTTGCCGAGTGAAAGTGTCGGGATCCTCATCCAAAAGATCCAGACTCAGCTCAGGTATATCGAGAATGTGGCCACCAGTGTTCTCGGATACACAACGAGCAAAGGCTTTAACCACATTGACAACCCCAGGATCGCGCAAAGACACAGGAGCAGCCAGGAAAATGAGGCGGTTCCGAATGGTCAGATTGAATTCTTGAATGACGTCTGCAATGGCAGCTTGCTCCTTGAGTTGACATAGGTGAAACTGGCTGCTTAAAGAACCGAGCTCGTGTAGTCGCAATATCACGTAACTAAATGGTGTACTCTTAGGAAAATACTCAGCGAAGCGTTCTATGACATTTGCGGGAGGAAAGATTCCTGCTGTTGTCATTTGTGCTGCTTCTTTTGACATGGCGCTTGATAATATCTCGTGATCAGCCTTGAAAAATGTTGTGACAAGGCCTACGGGAGGCTCTGTTGGTTTGGCGGGGGTGCCATCTGTGACGTCTACTGGCCCTGCTTCGATGGCATCTCGGGCCGTCTTGTATCTCCCGGCCCGGCCAGCAATTTGCTTGATCTCAGAGATAGGGAGAGTTATGAGATCTGTGCCATTATGCCTCTTGACAGATTCTAGAATGACACGTTTGATACTTAAATTTAAACCCATGCCAACGGCATTACTAGCAACCAGAAAATCGTAATCATTGTCTGGATCATTGAACAAAGCGGCTTGTTGTGCACGGGTCTCGGGAGGTAATGACCCATAAACAATAGCGCATCGTTTTCCTCTATGATGTGCCTCAATTGCGTTTTTCATTGCATGAATCCTCATCCTCGAGAACAAGATAACAGCATCTCCTTTCTCTAATTTGCTAACTGGATTGTTCTCTTTGCTCGGTGGACCATCTCTCTCGGAATGTTTTGGCGTGAGACTTTTTGTCATTACTTGCAATTTCCCGAGTCTTTCATAATTGTGTATGATTAACTTGTCTCCCATCATTGCACATAGTTTTTTTATCAGATCAGTTGTACGGACTTCGCCACAGAGATGTACTTCTTTGGCCTGAACTCCCAGCACTGCTTGAGTCCAAGCCCAGCCGCGTTCTTCATCTCCGATCATCTGGATCTCATCTATAACTGCTACATCGACTTTCGAATTGAGAGGTACCATCTCCACGGTGCAACTCTTCATGGTGTCCTTAGCACCCTCTGGTATCCGTCGTTCCTCTCCAGTGATAAGAGAGCATGGCTTTCCTTTGGCATTGAATCTCGTATAAACCTCGTGAGCCAATAATCGTAGTGGCCCAGCATATATACCACTATTGGCTGCCTCAAGCTTTTGCAGAGCATGGTATGTTTTGCCAGAGTTCGTGGGTCCAACGTGCAAGTGGAACGTGCGTTGCATCGCTCGTGTCGCTGGGTACCATTCAATTGGGTAACGAAAGTCTGCTAACCTCTGATGGCTGGCAAGTTCCTCTTTCGAAAACTTACCGGAGAGCGTGAAATGGGTGAATGCATGTCTTATCTCGTCTTGTAGGCCTTTGGTATCCTTTGAAATATACGCATCCTTAAGTTTGCAAAACATAGGATTTGAAGCTTTATCAATCTCGCCCCGCTCAGTTGCTCTTCTGCCAGCCGCTGCTATCAAATCCTCGAAGTCTCGAAGCTTGACTAGCAACTCCTCTTTACTTGCTACACCCCAGCCTTTCAGTTCTTCGTCCCCGACTGGTTTCACATATATCGTTCCATTTATAAGCGTTCTTCTCAGCATTTGGGCTTCTTGCATTATCGTTTGTTCAAACTTTCGAAATGCCGTCCTAGCCCGTTCCTCCGTGTCTTTCGGCGTTCCATATCCTTTATGGGAACCATTGCGATTTGACACTCCGTAGGACTCCGAAGGCTCTGGATACTAAAAAGTTAGGTGGTAAGCAGATGAGGATACCAAAGTAGCAGCGCCCATGTTATATACCTTCTTCCGGCGCGACTTTGGAAACGTCCTCGCCACAGGCCTTGACTGATGGAAACTTCTACCATTGATTGTGAGAGGTGAAGAGCTTGGCCATATTAAGCTGCGAAATGTACAGAACGCACATTGCCCAGACCTCCTGCCGATCAATGTCATTACCGCAGTGGATAGCGCAAAAGCATCCGATTATGGATAGAATAATAATTGACCTCAAATACAGATTTAATTTTGTGATTAGGTAATCATCGAGAAATGGCAAATCTTAGCGCCGGCCGCAGCTGCATTAGCTTCTGCGCCATCGTCATTGTACTTTCCCAGTCCTGTTACCTTTATGTCAACCGTATTGAACTGACAATCCAACTTTCACCATTATCCTCATCAACCTGCCAGTCCATATTCGCACGCAATTGTTCATATCATCTCCTTCAACCCGTACATCTTCCTTTGCCTTTTGTTGAATTGTATTCTAGACATTGGAAACCTTCGGACTTCGTGGAAAACCCTTCGAATTCTCAATTCAAATTCCAACAATGGCATCCTCATCCACAACACCAACTCCCCTTCTTTAGTAAGTATACATCGGTCTCAAAAATTGTTAATTTAACTTCTAACAAATGCAGTTCTTGTATCTCTCACAATACGACTATCCTCGCCGAGCATACCACGTCTGCCGCTTCGCAAACTTCATCCCTAGCCTCCCTTGTCCTTCCGAAAATTAAGCATGATGAACCTCAAAAATTGACGTATACCCACAACAACTCTTTCATCCATTATATGGCATCTGCACCCTCTGAATACCCTGCTTCCGAATCGTCTGCGGGTGGACTTACATTCCTCGTGATTGCTGATGCCTCTCTTGGACGTCGCATACCGTTTGGGTTCCTTTTCGAGATCAAGAAGCGCTTCTTTACATCATTCCCACCTTCAACTACAGACTTTTCTGATTTAGGAAGTTACGGTGCTGGATCGTTCAATTCCGAACTCAAGAAATTGATGGTAGAATACGGAACAACCCAGGGCGGCAAAGAGGATGCGATCAAGAACGTACAAGGTGAAATTGACAATGTTCGAGGTATTATGAGTCAAAACATCGAAAGTCTTTTGGAAAGAGGCGAGAGAATTGATCTTCTCGTTGACAAAACGGATAGACTCGGTGGAAGCGCATCGGAATTCAGAATCAGGAGTAGAGGCTTGCGCAGACAGATGTGGTGGAAGAATGTGAAGTTGATGGTACTTTTGACTGTTGTTATCATCTTCTTGCTTTACTTGTTTGTTGGGTTTGGATGCGGATTACCGGGATGGCAAAAGTGTGTTGGATAGGTGCATTGCCGGGAAAACGACATAATGTGGATTGAGAAGGCCGTGCATTGAGTTCAAATTGACCACTGAGGAGGATAAAATTAGGATTGGGAACTTTATACCATGGCGTGGAGTTTTGGCATGCGGCTTTGTGTTATTTTATTAGTATACATACTTTCATGGGTTTATAAGGACGAGCAATTGATATGTTATTTATGATTACGCTTGCATAAGAAAACTCAAAAAAAAATCCCTTAAAGCACAATGATAAGCATCCTTAACAATGTGGAAAACGAGAGGTCCCATATATACAATCCAAGAATCCGAATCCCTTTTCCAATCCGAACTCCAATATATAAACCTGTTGTAATAATTCTTGATTGTATTAAATGGCCTGACCACGATCAACAAGGCCCTCACAACTTTGCTTCTCTTTCTTGAACTTCACCACTTTCGTACACATACCCACTCGCAACAGGACTCCCCGCCTTCCAATCCTCAAATGCATATTCATTTGCTTCCACACCGGTAGGTGCTTTCCTCAATCTATCTGTGAAGAATACTGGATGTCGTTTTGCGGAATCAAGAATGAATTTGCCATTTCTGTGAGTTAAGTGTAGGAAGGGTGAGGTTGAATCTGCTATTTGTAAGGGTGTTGCGTGGGGTGGCAGAGCTTCAATTTGGGTGCGGGGAGGAATTGGAGCTGTGGTGGGGAATGCAGGAGCGTGAAAGGATGGAGATGCGGTAGGGAAGGGAGATTCTGATTGGTAGGTAGGCGGAGACATTGAAGTTGTAGGTGGATTGGGAGGTGCAGTTGAGGGTGTAGTGGGAATTGGGACCTAGTGGGATCGATGATCGATTAGCTATTTTCTTCACTCATCACCCGTTGGATAAGGAAAGCTCGGCGAAGGTACGAAACATACGGTTGGTCTTTTTGGTTGTAATGAAGGAATCATCTCGTCGTTATTTGGAGGTGCTAAAGGAGCTGTATGAAGCGATTGTTCGTGCGATTGGGAACTTCGAAGAGCAAACGCTGGATGCGGCGCGAATAGCTGAGAAATGGAATGGCGTAGGGGCGGCATTTCGGATAAGGTATTCGCGAGTAAGCTTCCTATTTGGGTTCTTTGTCCGGGAATCTGAAAGTGTGAAAAGAAGATATGATGTATGACACTTTTCCAATTGAATTGATGACAATTGCTAGGAAATGATGTTATTTTCTCAAATTGTTATAATGAATTGTTTTACAAGAGTAGAACTTTTGTAAATTTCGATTCAAAATCTCTGGAAAAAATACCCAAGATGGGAGATTTATGAAGTGTGGGGTAAAGCTAGCTTCAACTCTAAATGGACGTCGGTCATAGGGGCCGAGGTATCAATGATGCACATTTGTGCATCATTCCAACTGCCGGCATACCGCGTGGTTTAGTGTGTAAAGAAACTGTCACCTCTTTGCTTGTTATGTCATACTTAGGTATAGCTGTATTCTCAGCGGTTGCTTGCTGTGTTCAAGATTAAAAATCCTAAGTGACAACTATATCGGTCTGACTCTGCTTGCCAAAGCTATCAAACTCTTCTAAGCTACTCAGGAAGAGCTTCATACTCTTTTTGAACTCTCGAGAGTGCCAGATGGTACCTCCAGGCTATTCCAAATATCAACAAAACGAAATGGAAGACTATCTCGCTTGTGGAGCACATACTAGGTGTCAAAATATTAGTGAAACTCTCCACAGACTATAGTTTTCAAGCTTGTCTAAACTTAAAGCATCAAGTTCGGTCCTGATTGAACTTTATATCAGGGCCTACCAGTGAATGTCCTGAGTGGAAGTTGGCAGGTATTCAGTTTGTTGCTTGTCAAGTTTCTTGTGAAGAAGACTCGAATGCTCACGAATGCTTCAGAATGAATCAGGAAAAGATTGAAGTTAACTACATCTGACAATACATCGGACAATATACACGTATTAGAGATAATGCATTAAAATTGGCGCATATTCTCTGCCAGTCAGTACGGAAGTCAGACACACTTGTTCGAATAAACCATTCTAGACTACGAGAGGCAGCAAAGACTCGATACTTCGTTTCTGGTTTCTAGGAGGATGACTATGGATGTAAGGAGCATCTACAATTGTGCACTTCCATGATTTCATAAATTGAGTAGTGGAAAGCATTGAGACGTACGCGGCGTTGAGTGATAGTGATGACAATGGTGAGTAATCGTAGGTGGACCAGATGATGTATTTAGATATGTCTGCGAATGGACATCAATCAAGGAAATTGCTAGAACTGTGAGAAGGGGTTGATTTATTGGTACCTAGGTAGTGAATACAACTCGGAGACTCTTTAGCAAATTCAAAATTTCTCCCACAGTTTTCACTGTACCATGCGTACCTTTTGGCTTATCGTTCATTCACTTGTTGAATAAATTTCGAATACCTTGATGACTCCAACCAAGTTTCTATCCCACCACAAACTGCGCAAGAATTCACATTGAATGATGAAGCCATATGCGTAAATGTATTGAAATTTGATAAGCGCAAAATTGAATTTTGACCCCGGACCACTACCCTCACTTTGAAAATTTCAGCCTTTAAGAGGGTTTGAACCGTTCAAATGAACTTGATTCTACATTCATGTCCCCCATAGCCCTCCCTCCCTTCAAATTGGACCAACTGCAATCACCTTCGTGGTTAAAAAGCGATGGTGATATATGAGCTATGCCTTTTTGAGTAGGCAAGACTGGCCACACAAAATGGGACGACAACTTCATCACCATCCATTACTGATATTCACCATCAGTTTACTGCGCCTCCCTAACAAAGAAAAAATCTCTGCCGTAAGTAACCTGAATTTGCAATTTTAATTGCGCATTCGGTCTCGCTTGGCCATCAAGGTACAGCATTCTACGTCCATATAAGGCCTCTCCCCTCCCACTCCCTTCATTTTTTTTTTCCTTCCCTCTTCAATCCATTGCCATGTTCAAAGAAACACATCTTTACTTCAACATCACTGTACTTGCTTTCAGGTAGATCTATCTGTGGTGAAAGATTGATGCTATCTAGTGGTACGGGGAAGATTTTTAGCATAGTGAAGACCCATTGCACTGTCCAAAACTCGTGGTAGCACAAACCGAGCCTACTTAATACCCTCTCACGAGGGACGTTAGGGAAGCCGATGCCACGTTTATTGTTGGGGCTGTCTGAGAATCTTCCCACTCATATCTACTTTTGCTCTATTGTCAGTTCAACCTGGCATCCACAGGAGTGAGAGTATGAGAGAGGTTGGATTTGGTATAGGCGATGGTGGGTTCTGTGAAGAACTTTACTTGATAGGTCAAACCTTTGGGGAATCTGTGGAAATCAACTTTCCTATGATTTGTTGGCTTTTGATCTTTGATCTTGTGGGTTTTGGCTTGTGGGCGTTGGCTTGTGGGAATTGGCTTGTGGGACAGGGGAAATGCTGACAGAAAACTGTTGATAATTGTGGGCTGTTGCGATTGGTTTTACTTTCTGATCTGTGATGATAAATCTCAAGTCAACATGGTCCAATTCTCATGTCAAAATTGACGTGAGTTTTGAACCTTGACACATCATGTTTTGTTCTGAGATCACTTCCCGAAAGCTTTTTATATTTGCTTAGATCTGAGTTTTCTACTCTGATTTCGTTCCAAGCAAGAGTACTCTTTTTCTTTCCCGCCTTCCTTTCTTTGTACTTTCATATTCATGTCCTAGAATAGTAGCTTTGAAAGATAAATAATCGGTGTTTTGTTTTGATGGAGATTCCACCCAGGTAAATTTGAAAACAAGTATATACATACTACGTAAAATTTCTTATGTCTGCGTGTGAATGTGAAAAAACAACATAAATCCGATTATCGATATTTTGAATTGCAAGTCTACGACTATTGTGATCTAGCAATGTGCGCCAATGGACCGTCTGACCAAATCCGGGAGAATGAAAAGATGAATAGCACTTTTTTCCTTCGCATCCGACTCTTCCATCGTAACCTTCCAGCTGAGTTTCTTGGTCTCAACTCGTTTCTCAAGACGTTTGACCTTCCAAGCCCAACTGCCAATCTGAGTAAATCCTAGTGACGAACATGCCACGGCTATGAATATTGCATAAGGCTGAGCGATAAGTTTTGGATCTCTGGCATATGTGGGAGCGAACGATTCAGTATTTGGATAATCATCACCTTGTGCCGATTTTGGTTCCAGCGATCGATAAAGAATAAGTCTTGGTGCATGCATGGCGTAGTGAGACCAATTTTTGATCGTGAAAAAGAATTTTTCCCCAATGCATCTTCACTCCCTCACATGTTGATGAGTCCATCCTTTGACATCGTCATGTAAATTTCTGTTATTTCTGGGAGTTTTTTTCTAAAAATCTGAAGGATAACTTCATCTCCAAGAGAAAAAACTTATCTCGATCCTCGTCACTTGTGGAATAATCGTATAAGCTAAATTTTCATCAGTAGATGCGACATTTCAACTGCGATTTATGACTGACTGTAGAGATCAAAGTCCGACCATAGCATGAAGACATCTCTCCAAATTGGAGGTATTTGAACACTGTCTTAAAGCTATAATTGATATGTCTGTCACATATATTAGACTCGAGGGTATAGGAGTCTTATCTTTGGCTTCGACATTAATAACCAAAGCAGGCCTTCGGTATATACGTGGAGAAAATATTCGACTGAAGGTTCGACTCACTTTGGTTAGTGTGTATTATGTATGTCTGCTGGTCTCTGGAATCTAAGACTGATTAGTAATGAATAGTTGCTGTTATGCATGTGCTCAAAGAATTACTCTAATGTAACATTTCAAAACTAGCATTGCGGTACCCGGAGTGCTGTCTCTCAATTCAATTATCATATCTTCTCCATTTGGTTTTAGATACATTGTTATGATATTTGGTAAGTTGCAACAATGCGAGCACCTTGATGCATCCAAATAGTTGATCTAGGTCCCGTGTTATGTTCTTGAATTCTTGATTTCAGATTCAGCGATGGGAATGCACTTCAAGACTGCACAAGTCGTTTTCATGTAAACTGTTCTCTAAACGGGAAATTCGATACCACGTCTACCTGCGACCATAATCAAAACTTCAAGCGGTGGTCCTCCATATTTCTTATCAATCTCAGAGCTTACTTGGCTGACCATCTTGGGCATCTTATCATGATTCTCTCTTTAAAAATTGTTGAATCTATTGATGTATTGTGTAGTCTTAATTTTCTCATATTCCGAATTCCACCCCGAGTAACCGACTCTTAAAACCCCATGAACTATTTTTGTACTTTATCCAGTCAATAGATTAAGAAAGTTATAATAAGTAGTTTGTACTTTCAAAATCTAAATTGTCCCTCCGACCTCCTAGAGCAGATTCGGATATTAGTTTCGGCAAGTGAACAAATATATAGCTTCTTTTTCGTCCTCATTCAGCTCTTCGAGTGCGAATGGTCTCCGTTTCATCCTCCAAGCCCATTCACCAATTTCGATACACCCTAGAGATTTGATTCTTCAGCTATTATATGGGCATATCGGTACGCAATATCTCGGGGCCTTCTAACGTAAGGCCAGCGGGATGATTGTGCCGAGGGCCATGCACGGGGTCTGGTTCTTCTACTTTGTAACGAGAGTCGAGTCAACGATGGAACATTGGGTCTTTCAGACCTAAAGTCGTCCTAGAATAATAGCTTAGCTTTTAAATGATACGCCTAAACAGGATTATCTCATCCTGATCAAAGAGAACACGGCGTTATTATGCAATTCTTAAAAAGCCCATATACCAACCTGACAAACAGAAGCTTTCAAATTTTGATTCAATTCGAATGATTCGGATGATTTTTATATCAGATCGTTTGAAAGATTCAAATAGTTCAAATGATGTAGACAGCGTGGTTGATTCAAATGGCTTAAATCACTAAATTCAGCCTCGATGTTGTGTAGCTTCCGAAAATTGAAAGCTTAAGATCAGTCCGGAGTATTGAAATCTTTGCATCCTCCGCTTAATTTCGGAGGTTCAGACAATTATCCATGCTCAGATAATCCAGATTTACTGTCTCGTAGAAAGCGTCTTCATCTTCTGCGTTAAATAATTGTAGTTCTTGAAGTGATTGAGTGTTAAGTAGACCACTCAGACACCGAGTATTATCCTGCGACATGCTAAACCAGGGAACCATGCCACATCCGAGTTTGAGCTCTCTCAGATTCAATGGCGAAGTCTCTGGCTCTTCTCTGTAAAGTCGGCATAGCTCTGAGAGACAATCTCTGGTTCCCTCTCTATGCAGAAAAGCTTGAGTGTCGGGAATCCATTCTCCAGTTAGACCTATCCCTAGTATCTGTAGGGCAGGCGATGTGCGTAAAATCTCTATCAGATCCCTGATGATACTGTAATTATCACCATGGAGAGCGTAAAGCTCTAGACTAGTCAGGTTGACAAATCCGCTCACTTTGAAAAGACACATATGTGGAGCCTGAGCAGCTTCCCGGTTAGCTAGAGTGGCACTTCGAAAGTAAACCTTCTTAAGGCTTCGAATGTCTTGGAGACGACGTAATAATGTCGCATTCTCTAAGATCAAGGCTCCACACGTGATGTTGTCATTCTCCATATCATCAACCCCCACCCAGATATGGACACACGGCTGTTATTAACCAACCTAGATAATGCATTAATGAGTGACTGTACATTCAGTAGTTTCTATTTCATTTCACCTGAAAGATTGGAGTTCCTTAGTATTGTTCAGATATTGTATAATCAACAAACACAGTCCAGGCTAGTTTGTCTGAATGTGGGCAACATTTCCGGTCTAATGTCAATAATCACTTCCAAGTTCTTGACAAAAGGAACGAAGGACGGGATCACATTAGATGCTTCGTGACCCAACACCTCGATAGTATAATTTTCGTAAAGAATCGGCGAAAATATGGTTCTGAAGCTGCGCGGTACTCTAACAAGAGAATAGAGAGAGGGCTTGCTAGAAGCTTTTCCTATCATGACCCAAACTTCCATGGGTATATTGGAACAGAAGACGATGTTGGCTTCATTTTACATTTTCATTATGTGTTTCCATAAGATACAATCAGACTACCAGACCAGTGCGAGGGGCTTTGTGCGGAGAATCGAAGTGAATGGCTAGAAACAAAGTAAATGCTCAAGAAGAAAGTACTCGTGCACTTCTCGATATTTTTGGTTTCGGTTTACAATCCGGTGGCTCTCACGATTCAAACGGTCTCCATTTGAAGAATTTCTTATGGGCAGAATATGCTAGTTTTAGGCGGTGAGACTGAGAGTAACGTTGGACTAGCAGCAGACTTCCAAGTCGAAGGGATTAGGCTCTTGTTGTATATTGAAATATTAATATCGATTCTGGAAAGCAAAATTCTAACAATCTCAGAGCGAGAAACCCGAAGGCATATTTAAAATTCAATCTTGTTGCTTTTGAATAGCATTGTTGGAATTGGACTCCCAGAAACTGGCGCCAAGATTCTTCGAGCAACTGGCAAGTATTTCCACAATAGAGAATCACCAAACACCGAAGCATACAACAATGCAAAAGATGCCGAATCTAGTGCATCTTTTTTTAATTCGTGCAGCTGTTGGGACATAGTTTGGCTCTTTGGAGAAGAACTATTGCAAGCTGTTGGCGCTAAAAGCCGGGGTAAAATGCTGGGGCGCAAATCGGTTGTCCCGACTCAGCGCTACTGCCATCTGGCATTGTGATTACAGAGTACGCCATAAGATATCCATTGAACAGCGGACGGAAGGTCTCACGTTGGATTTGTTATTACTATCCGGGAACAAATAAAATAGTGTAAGTTGCAGCTATGAACGGAGCAGAAAGAGGACCATGTCTTTTGCAGATGGATGCCAAAATGTAGGATTATGAATTACCAATTGCAAAAGACAGTGATAGTCATGAGAGTCAGGATGGAAGCTGAAGATACCGTTATTATGAGTTAAATGGTTCTATTGCGAATGGTCATAGAACAGAATCAGAGGGACGCATTATGATATATATTGGGGATTTCAAGCAAACGACTTTTAGCACAATCTACCGGGACTGGATCACAGAATATGAACTCGTGGCGACAATTTGAAGTCGGAGATTGATTTCATGCTAAATTAGACGGCGAGTGATGATCTACGCTAGACAGACTGCCTACTTGCGATGGTATGTAGAATCCGATAGCACAGGTAAGTGGAGCGCAGCTGCGAATATCAATAGTATTTTACCGATGTAACTTGTGATACATCGCTGTTCTACATCATTTAATCACTACTTTTGGGGTATATTTAACTCCTCTTTTCGCTTCCTAACTTCCTCGATCGCAGCCTCCTTATCTGTCGAATCAGGATTTCTCAACTGCCACTCCATGCATACATTCAATGCCGGCGCCATCCATATGCCAGGCTTGACACCCAGTGCCTTTGACAGAATCTTTCCATCTACTATCCCTCGGATTGCCGGTGCCTCCATTACATCAAGGTCTTTGAGGTGGTCAATGAACTTCTGCCATTCCGAAAATAGCGATTGATATCCTAGAGAAACTTAGTATAAATTGTATGACACACAAAGCTTCCGATGATCAAAACGTGTGGACATCAACCATACCTTCAGCACTTTTTAGCTTCAAAGACTCCACAAGCAATGCAAATAAGGCTTGCAATTTCCATTGTCCACCATGTGATTCCCACTTCCTAATTATCATGCCAACTGTATCTCGTTCGTGAATATAAGGGTCATTTCTTTTGATCGCATCCTTGAGCTCAGTGATCTCGGCGTATTGCTTAAATGCACCGGCAACCATATTGCACAATTTACTTTCCGCTTTTAGTCCTTCTCGAGCAACCAAAGCTCCATGTGGCGGAGGTATCTTCCCTCCTGGTTTTGCTGCTTGTGCTGGTGGAATGGCCGTCCATGGTGTCAAAGCGGCGAGAATCCAGGCAAGATATTTGGCGTCATCTGATCTCACTAGCGATTTGTAAATAGAATCTGGTGTTTCATTCAATGTCATCTCCTTTAAGCAATCATACACTATTTTCCAGCTCGATGTATCTGGCGTTAGGACCTCATGTGCTGTAGGATCCGTGAATATTGTTGAATAAATACCAAGCCGATCAAAATAGTTTAAAGATTGCCAAGGGTTATTTCCTGAAATTGGTAAGAAATGAACTGAAATATCAAAGAATTATCTGAACGACAGCTTGCTTACCTTTTAACATTTTCTCCACTTCAACGCCAACTCTCTCTCGACTGATCTTGAGTTTCAGAGCTTCCATGATGGTTGGATTACTCATACAATTTTCCGCCTCTGGATCAATTTTGAAATCTAGTCGACTAGCAAACCTGATTAATCTCAAAACTCGTAACGGATCATCCTTGAAAGTAGTGTATGGTTCAAGCGGCGTTTTGATGAGTTTGGCCTTCATATCCGCAAGTCCTCCAGTGAAATCTTCTAGAATATCTGCGTGAAGATTATAGAATAGAGCATTAATCGTAGCATCCCGTCTAAGTGCATCCTCTTCTGCACTGCCGAATTCCATTTCAGGATTGCGACTATCTTCGGCGTAGGTTTCCTTGCGTAAGTTCACAAAATCCACATCGAACTGAAAGATGTTTGTAGTTGCAGTTTCCAACTGTTTGGACTTCTCTGGGTTCGCAGCAATTTTGTATAGTTTTTTGACATCTTTAGCTTCCAATCCATGTTTCTTGAGGTTTTCTGCATCTTCCAAATATTCCCGCATCTTCAAACCGAAATTCTGCCCAGTCATGACATTGATTGCTATGTCAATATCATGACTTTGGATCCCAAGCAGCTTGTCCCGAACCCATCCTCCTGCCCATCTCAACTCGACTTTCTTCTCAATATCCTTTGACCCATTGATGAAATCCGCTACATCAAGCAAAAGATTTCGAAGTTGACTTTCTCGAGGAGTCAATGTCACAGTAGCGGTAGCCATAGTCGTTCCTCGTAGTCTTTTTGCAAAAGAAATCTCTTCTTCGTTGTGTTTTCGTTTCATGGAAGAGAATTGAAATGTTTGTCGTTTGGTGGTGGTGACTCTTAAAATAGATCTGACTTTTATGACTCCACAGCTCTGTACAGAAGATTTCCAATACGGAATCATAACATGAGGTGAACGAAGAGCTTTTAATTATTAGTCGAGCTGTAATTTAGTTTCACTGCTGAATCCACAGACAACCAATAAAGGAAAAGTACGGCACCAACTCGAAATTGATATTCAAGTCACGTGATGTCAAGAATTCTGGTGATGCTGGATTATTCTTAGCGCAAGGCCATCATCAAGTGTATAGTTGTTCCCGCGATGGTAACTTATACAACGTATACAAAGTACAAAAAACAAGGGACCTTTTAAAGGAAGTTATACGACAAAAGTCCATAAACCCCTCTTGTATATTTCATGCTCATGTCGATTAATTACAATTCCAACATAGACCTTCTCAGACGGATTGACGTTCGAGTATTACACAAGGCCACATCTGGATGAACAATCGCTGCTGCAGTCTACCTTTGATTGATCCGGCGCATGATTGTGCGATTATTTAGGGTCATTGAAATTAGTGCGAATATTGTTTTCTTCCGGCTGCGGACCCCTCGGTCTTCATGACACCTTCGAATCATGCATCTCCCTTCAGTCCCCCCGAACCGGTGACGAGTCCTACGCCGCTGAGGAGGCCCAAGACAAGAATTTCTGCAGATTCGCAATCAATGACCTCATCTGTAGCTTCACTGCCGTACAGAGCGTCGAATGCCTCAGTACAGTCACTGTTCGCGTCAACGACAACACCTTCCGGTTCAAGACCAGTCTCCCCGACCGGCGGATCATCGACACCTTCGCGAATCGCAGGATCTGTATTTGGTGGTAGTACGCTTTCTGAAAGCCATCTCTTACTATCGGATAGGAAAGACGATCCTCGAAACTTAATTTTATCGGGATTTGTTCCACATATTGCGGTACACACATCTATCGACACACATGAGCTTGTGCAAGACAAAGGGTTCAAAGGAGGACTTTGGGAGTTAATAAGGCCATTTGGGGAGAAAATACAAGGAAAAGTGAATGTACGAGATAGTATAGGGGCTGGCCGGACGTATGACGATTTTGGAGTACGCTTTGTTCAACTGGGGGATGGGCTCGAAATACCGGATGGGATACCTGGGTCGCGAAGGAGTGGAGAGGGAAAAGTTCTGTCACCGAATGGCAACAAACCTATACCAGATTCAATAGCTGCTCAGCGCCTGAGAACTGGAGGAGATATTCCTCAAATTGAGCGACTTGTTGATCGTCATTTAACGAATGCTGAAGAATTTCCTGGTGTCAGCGCAGAAGATTTTTTGAACCTGAAGGATAGTTCTAAGATTTCAGGGGCAACATCGCCGTTTTATACTCTTTATCTACGAAGGTTACTTTCAGGAATACCTTTAGCCCCGCACGAAACTTTCTCTCATCCAGTGGCATGTATTATCGCCATAAGTTCACGTAACAAGAATCCGATTGAAGCTTTAAGGAGGCTATATGAAGAATCAAGTCGCGGAGAAAAGCGGTTGCCACTATGGGTCAATGATGATTATCTTCGCTATTATGTTCTGGTACATGATGAAGAACGAGATGATATTACAAAATCTATCACATTATTTGAACAAATGAAACGCCATTTTGGGCTTCATTGTCATCTCTTAAGGCTTCGAAGCAGTCAATGCGTGGCAACAGATGATGATAGTGTACAACTCCCACGGTGTGAATGGATAGCTGCATCAGAGGAAATGGCCGAAATACAGGCGCGGGAGTCTCAGGAAGACCCCGAAGACTCATTTCCTTGTATATATGAATCCGATACTACTGCCATCAAAACATTTATTCGCGAGATGGTTACTCAATCTGTTGTTCCGTCAATGGAGAGGTGTGTAGCGACTTGGAACGACCAGGTTGCTTCACGGCGAAGAGGCATAAGTGGTAGATTCATGAGCTTATCGAAAACTATAAAATGGCCTGGAGCATTTGGTTCCAGCTCACGAAGTAATTCATCAAATTCGGTAGGATCAGGTAGCAATTATGACGCATTGCAGGGGTTTTACCGACCGGATTCACCGGAAGCATTGATGCGAAAGCTCGCAGATTACTCGTTTATGCTTCGAGATTGGAAATTGGCCCAGCAAATTTATGATCTGTTACGGTCTGATTTCACTAATGATAAAGCATGGAAACATCATGCGGCAGCCAATGAAATGGCTGCTGTTAGTACCCTCATGATGCCTCATTCTATCAGCGCCAAAACACGTACCGAAACCATCGATATGATGCTTGAAACATCGTCATACTCGTATATGACAAGATGCAGTGCCCCTTACGGAGCCCTGCGCTGCTTGACCTTGGGAATGGAGCTTCTTAGGGTCAGAGGCGGCTCGGCAACCGGCGATGCAGCAAGATGGGGTGCGAGACTTCTTGAACACAAGATTGTGGGTGCAGTTGGCGACTCATTATTCAAGGAGCGTGTTGCGGTCTGTTATGGTACGAAGAAGGGACACGGACTTGGTCTCTGGGGTAGTAGAACAAGAAAATCAGCCATGTGGAGTATCATGGCCGCCGAAGGATGGCTCAGCCTAGAGAAGCCTCATCAATCGAAAAAGAGTCTAGATGATGCTCGGGCGAAGTATGCTACATTGGCAAATAAAGATAGTTTGTTGCATTTTGCGGAAGCAAATGAATTTGTTCAGGGTCTTGAGACGCAGATCGAAAATACTTTATATCCGATCACAGAATCCCAAGCAACGATCATGCCAGACGATGATATGATAGAGACAACCATGGGAGAAGAAAGCGAAGTCTTCAATTCGCGTCCACATCGAAGAAGTCTCCCGGGCGGAGTAGCACCGCCTCCCATTGCAAGTCTCGAATCAGCGCCCTTGCATGGGACAATCATAGAAGCGGAAGAGAAAAATAAAATTGTTACGAGTAACGATTTTGAACAAGAATAATGATACGGTGGAAGCATTATTAGTCGTGAATGAGAGCGAGCGAGCTTTCTGCATATACCCCGTTATTTCGAGAGGAAGCTTTGACCGTGTTTGGAGAAAAGCATTGCAAAATAGGAGTCTGAGGAGTTATAGATCTGGTTGAAGATAGGTCTCAGGGATGAACATTGGGGTCATATGTATGAATATGCTATGAGATGAATTAAATGAACGGCTTTAGCGACGATCAATATTATTAAGTTTTGTGTATCAGTCACCCATAGATCATGACACCGATATCTCGTCACATCTCTTATCGGTGAACAAGGTTAGCCCTACTTCAGTGAATTTACTGTAAGTGTGAGCTTATACCCTTGTTGTCCACGGATCTCAGTGCTACCAATCTCTGATCATTAGTGATTGTCTACTTAGTAGAGGGTCGCAGTGTTTAAAATTTTCTGCACAAAACGACAAAGCCATCTTACAGTGGTCGCAGATATTCAATTTCTGTCAAATCGACATTATCAAAGTCCTCGCGTCTCTACAGCTCATCGTTTGTAGGTTTGCACCTATCTATGAGAGACGCAATAAGAGGGAAAGTCAACACTGTGCGAGTTTCACAATCATTATATTGGTGATGATGGCCAGACTACGTATCGATTGGTATTGATGTTGCTCCCTAGATTATCAGTGAAATACGTTTCTCTAATACCTTTGTCTGGGTGTAAATTGGGAATATTTTTGGAATAGATCCTTGTATTTACGCCAATTGTTGTTCACGCGATCTTCAATCTAGAAAGTATTATCCCATGTGTAGGATAGTTGTCTGATCCGAAAGGAAGTGATGAATTTGAATGATGATTTATCCCTAACTTTACGGTCTAATTCTAACTTAAAGCAGAGATAATAGTAATAACAGCGCAATCGATCCAGACGAGTGTCTGACCCCCCCCCCCCCCCTCCCCCAAACGAGCTAAACGAGTGTGTGAGTTCTACCATGATACATAGTATGAAAATAACAAGCAAAAAAAGCACAAATATTCTCCCCTTCTCCCTCCTCCATACCCCTTATCCTTCTTTCCCTAAACCTCCTACCCGCCTCCTAGAATCTCATTCAAGAATTCGCATCAGACATTCTCCACCTCACTGGTAACAGTCATCACTATTTGGACTGTCACTTCCAGCCAACCAACAGCCTTTGTCGCAGTAAACGGTATCTTTCAGCAAACCACCTTCAGCGCATGTGAAGAGCCCGTGGTAAATGTGATCATCGTCGGCTGTGAGGCCGCTACTTTGGAGGCTTTGCATGATGGTGTCTTTATAATTGCCTGGGGTTTGTGTTAGTGGATTGGGTGTTTTCATGGGGACGGGAGGACAGGAGAGGGAAGGGGAAGGGGACGAGAAGCAGAGGAAGAGAGGGAGAAGAAACGTAATCGTACCAATAGTGAGCAAATCTCCGCCGCAGTATGCAAGACCACTCTTGCAATCCTTTGCAATCGCCTGGGCGCTGAAGACGGAGAGGGTAATGGTGACGAGAGTGGAGAAATGCATTTTGATTGGGCTTTGGGAATGTACGAATCGTGTTTTATAGTTTAATGAGAAGTAGAAGTCGTTAATGGTATTGTTATTGATGATGTGATAAGTAGAGCGAAGTGATGCTTGTTGATGATATTGAACTGGAAGAGAAAAGTGAAGGAGAATCTTGCAGCTCTTGTAGATTCTATTCTTCATTCCTCTATCGACATAACCCGTATTCCCATTCCAGGCATCTCACATACTGCAACGTTAGTATATCTCGGCGTTCCTTCGCCAAATGTTGATTGTGCTTGATGCTGTGTATCTGGCGTTTGACGCCAGCCAAGCTCAATTTACAATTTTGCAAATAGGCAGCACGACAATTATCTCAACAATTATCTGTAGACAAGGGGTGAACTGCAGGTAAACCAATCCACGGGTTACTTGCCAGAGATTCTACATGCGTTGCTGACTATCTGCGGATTATTTGCATTCCCTATTTTCAATTGAATTTGAAGTTATTCCCAAATTATTTTGGAGCCTAAAAGTGATGCAAGCGTAGATCTGAATAGATTATTTGAAAGTGATACGCATATAATTTACAGAGAATTTACAAATAGCTGTACTCGAGTATATTTGCAAATGGTTGATTAATTGGCGGGTGAATGGGTACCCGCAAAATCGAGCATTGTTTTCATGATGTTGAAATATTTGACAATTTTCGGTTCACACGATTATCCTGTGTACAGACCGAGTTCTGATGACCTGATGTATTTTCTATAAAACATAAATATAGATATGAAAAATGACTCGGTATTCAATACCATCCCTCCCATCTCTATCTGTACACTCAAGTGAAAACACTACAATTACCATTACCAATACCATCATAAACATTAAACTCTCCAGTCCATATTTATGTAATAATCCAAGTCCAAGTCCAAAAGAAAATCTCCGCAAGCAACCATAGCTAAAACCAATACACCTACCTACTAAGTAGTTATACAAACCTACATGCCAAAGCTTGATTCACTAGAATCCAAGGAAGCATTGATGGATGGTATGGAGAATGAAAAACGAGGCAAGGGAAGGAACGGAGAGGAATAAACGTCTACATTGCATGCAGTCTGGTAACCGAGAAGATGGAGGAACGAGCAATATAAAGGAACATATAAATCCTCGCCCGTTACACATTCGAGTACTTTATAGAACTTGCTGCCTGCATTTGCCGCGAAGTTTTGACCGTCCAGGAACAAAATGGTAACGCCAAACAATCTTGTTTCGTCATTGTATAGCTGGAAATGTTTCTTGCATCCAAGGATCGCATCGCACCGCAAAAGATCTTTGATCCAATACAATATAACTATATCTCTTTAGTCTTTGGTATATCCTATCCAAACGCCACTTCCCCGGTAATGATAGGACAAGTCACCAAAAGCGTGAAGCCCCTTTTCCCACATCCGAATATTCGAAGCCCAAGCCCCGTATAATACCAATACCAGATCATTTTAATATCAAATCCGAACACCAGTATCCTCTCCCTCCTCATCATCACCCGCCTCCCCAACAATAAACTCCAATACTTTACAAACCCTCTCATTCAAAATTCCGCCCTTTGCGAGTTCATCTTCTGAGTCCAGTCTCTCATCCAATTCCTTTGCTTCAGATCTCGTTTTCATCGTTCTCCTCTCTTTTTCAACACGTGCTTTGAGAGCCCTATCAACTCTGACAGGAACAGCTACAACCACCCTTACTAATAAGAGCATCATCCTCGCTTTCCCTACTAGATCCCATCTTCCCAATCTTCTTAGCCTCTTCTGAACCCTCCAGATCCTCCCCATTTCAATATATATTAATAAAGCCCATACACGCCCTCTCATAACCAGTTCTCTTACTTTTATAAAAGCGACTTCGATAGAAGAAGTTACGTCGGTATTAACGAGGTGAGGGTATTGCGAATTCAGGGATGAAAGAAGAGAGCGAATGGTGATAAAGTCTCCTGTAAGAAAGTCATGTACGAGTGATGAGACTGTAGTTCGAAATAAATTGTCGGAGGCTAAGGACGGAGAAGGATGTTTGGTGGGTAACGAAGTGGTAGTAGAAATTGAGGACAAAGAAGTAACGGAGTCGTAAGCTCGACGAGAAGAGGGAGATTTGAGGATCTCGAAGGAGAAGGCTAGACGTTGGAATGCGCTGAATGATAATTTGTCAGTCCACAATCGACATAATAGGGGGCTATGTAGGCGAAAGCGAAGAACAGGAGAAGAATTACCGGGTAGAAAGCGGATGAAAAGGAATTCTATCGGGATGACATATTTTCGATCGTTCTAAATAACATCGTCGCAATTCTGCACCCGAAGCAGACCTTTGTGCTCCAAGGATTTTGTATAGCTATATGTATTATATTGTCAATAATCGAATTCTTTGCTTTGCTTGTACCCCTCAACCCCTCTATGGCCAAGCGCGGTACTTGTTTGCGCCACAGCTTTTCAAAGAGTACAGGGCAAGAGAAGAGGATCACGAAAAGCAGACGACAATGCCATATACACGCGGTAAAGAAAATAAACATACATCTTCCTCAGTAAGAATACCTATTCATCACGAAAAACAAGTCCCAAGTCAGCAATTTCTCACACATCAAATCCTCTCTCCAGAACTCCGAGATTGAAGACCAAACATCCAAAATCACATGTCAAATATGGGCAAAAACTCACTCTGGATTACATCATCCTTATTAGAAGCCAAAATGTCCCCGAAATCCCTCTCAATCATTCTAATACACTCTCTTCCACCCAAATAATCAAAATAAATCAAAAGAAGTATTAAAGAATGAACATGGGAAGCATTTTGCCCAAGACAGTGAGATGAAAATGGTTACATGGAAAGTCAATGTGGAAAAAGTATGGGATCGGAGTAAAGTTAGTGCTTCATAAGGCAAAAGAAGTGGTGTGGACTTTCACATGGAAAAAAAGAAATTGTGGTTGTGTGAGGCGTGAGGCGTGCGTTGATGTGTGGTGTGTGTGTCAGCGGGGGAAAATGAGTATTTCCGGTTGGTTTAGGAAGGAAAAGTTGATTGACTAAAGAATTGTGCAAGATTATGTATGGTGGAATTTTTTGTGCAATGTAACATGGAATTATAACGCCGAATATTTACCTAGGTAGAGACGTATCGACGACAAACCTAAATTCGGTGTAGGCGTAGGATATAATAGATGTTGATAGTCGCAAGGTCAATCGTACAATTTGAGATATTGGGACTGTATTGAGTATGATATGCATACTTGGGTACTGGTGAGACAAATGAACCATAATAATAAATCATATAACGTCCGCAGAATCAGAGAAACAAGCGTCAAGTCGAGTGCATACATCGTCATATTTGATCTGTTTTGAAAAAGCAACTCCAAGCTCCGGTATTACCACCTCCTATCCAATTAAGTCTCAGTCTCCAAGAACTCTCTCGGGTACAGTATTCAACAACAAGATGCTCAACTTGTTTGAGCTCTCACGATTGCTATCCCATACGTTTGAAGCACGCATCTGCTATCTTCACTTCATATCAAGGCCTTTATCTTCCATCTCACCCATCTTTTCCGTATCTTCCTCGCTTTCTACTTCCTCCTGCTTGAATTTCTTCGTGCCAAATTCAACCCACGAGCCCTTTTTAAATGGTCCTTCATAATAGTTAGATCATTCCTAGGAGGCAATTTGGTTAGGTGCGTTGAATAAAGTACCTTTGAGTGACTCTGAGCCTACTTTGCCATTATTATTATCCTTCTTCTCATTGGTCATAGTAGTTGATGGTGCGTCCTCCAAATTTGAGCCAAAACCTCCCACTCTCGTTCTCCTCAGGAGTGTATACAGCTTTTCGTGCGATCTGCATGACTGTAGAGAAATAAAAAACTCAGAACAATATCGCAGAATGTGCTGATAATCTGTCTGTTTCGTAATATTTTGGAAGCGTGAAGTTCTTGTAGCAAAGTTAGGAGTCCTCCAGTTCTTGATAGGAGTTCAAAGACCACGCCAAGTGTTCAGATCAACTGGTATATATACCAAAATCCCTTGAACTCAATGTTTGTAGTATCTTGTTCAAAGATGCAACAGGAAAGAATCATTACGTGGACACTGTAGCGCCATGGAAACAAAAATTCATAGAGGGATCACTTCATCGCCTCCAAGTCAAACGCGCGGCTATGTAGGAATTCACGATTTTTCTCCAAGGCCCTGTCAAGGACATGCCAAACAAGCAACTTCTCATGTTCATGAGTAGATATATCTCGCGGAAAGCTACAAGTGTATGGAATTCGGCAAAGGAATCTTTCGTCAGGTTCATATAAGGCTGAACACATCGAGCCACCTAACATTACAAGTAACATGTGGGTTCTTATTACATGAGGCTGCCCATAAAAAAAGGATGAGGGTATCTCGTTGAACACCTAGATACCAAATTGACTACTAAGTCAGATGAGAAAAAACTCCTTAGATATTGACACTCGGTGAGTGGCTTCAAATTCAACAATGAGATAGGGGGAGAAAACGTGCACAATTGCGCGTGAAGTTGTTCATTTTAACTTCTTTTAGACTTCCATAACAAGCATTTAATTCACATATGTCGAAAAGAATGGGATATGGGGAAATTTTCAACCTACCATCTTGCACTCATCGTAGAAGATGTTAGTTCGTGGCTGCGATATTCTTCGGGGAAGCTGGAGACCTCGAGAATGTATTGTCAATTGTGTTCAGTATAACGACCTAGGAAAGCACTGTAATATAGCGTTGTTATCCTGAAAAATACGGGCTTCTATGTAATCGATTACTAAGCTATATCCTCTCGAATCTCCATTTCCTTTTTACCACCAATTCTTCTCAACTACAAAATATACATCTATATAACCACGCCTGAAATTCATAATGTTTTCATCTGCTCGTAGTCCTGCTAGAGACAGAATCCGAGACTTGAAACCTGATGAGGATGCTATCACGTTATTGTCATCTAGTGGTAAAATCTCCAGACTTTTTTAAACAACTTATTCTAACACGTGACTAGTTTTACCACCATCTTACTCTTTCGAGGATCTGTATCAAGAGCTTGTCAACGGAGGACAGGAAGGCGAAGATGTAAGTTTATATGCTTCAATCATTGATCGAATCTGAACTTGTACTAAATGGTTAGGAGGAGCTAGAAACCCTCGTCATCCTTGCCAGCTGCTTGAAGGAAAATTCGACCATATCTAAAAAAGCAGATGATGATATATGGCATGAGAAGCTTGAAGATCATTTATCGAAGAAATTGTTACCTGATGGCAAGATATTCTCGCTAGATAAGATTGATGGTAATGTCTCTCTGGCCAATTCAATTGTTTGCAGCATAAACTCATATCTTTAAGAAGAGAGGAAGTCAGACAAAGTTCACAAAATCAAGCAACATAAAGAGAAATATAACCTCTGCATAATTTCGATAGAGAATCTACTTCGTATATCTTCAAATATATCACAACCACCGAAGAACTCGACTCTTCTTTCTCTCATCCCATTCACTAGTACCAATTATGCCTGGACGACTTGCCAGTCTCAGCCAATCGCCATCACAATACTCGATAAATATGAATCTTACGCAAAGTCTCCCGAGTTCTTGGTGAATCATCTCTTGAGGTCCTTTATTCGTCTCATATTTTCCGAGGCCCCCACTCCCGAATCCATCACTGCATCTTCCCGGAAAGCATTTCCATCATCTGCACCACCCCGTCATTTCGATATCCTCGAATCCTCTCCTTCAAAACAACCTTGGAGGTCAACTATTCCATACACTATACCCGTCTTACAATGGATCGTAGATATCATTCCTGTATGTTTTCCTCTTCTCACTCCAGCTCCAGACTAACAATCACATTAAGCCGGATCTTCTCCGTGCGCAAGCATGGCCTCTATTGACCACACCCATTCTGATACTCCTCGATTCACCATCAAACCCAATTCGAATCCACGCTCTTCGAATCGTTCCCACGCTATTTTCGAAAATGGGTGACAAATTGCTTCAACAAACAGGACTAGGCGATGTCTTCGAGAATACTATCCACCCAGTTTTGTTATTCTTACCATCCACGACACCCGTCAAAGAAACAATCCAATTATTGCCAGAAGGATACAAAGCTTTGAATGCACTTTGTAATGCGATTTGGCCTGATAAAGGAGATAGTGAGTCTTCTAACAGTGTGACCACCATAGCCATGAAGAAGCCCTCGAAACACATCACCACCCCTTCTAAATCACCAGCTCAGCTTCGTCTCGCATTCCTTGACAGAATAATTCGCCATGCTATCCTTCCTGCTTACTTACACTGTCAAGAAATACCTTCCGTAGTTGAAATTGTGGTCGTACAAATCGGTATCATCATCCCGGAGATGAGGATTTCAGGTGTGAAACATCTCAAGGATATATTGCCTATATTGGTAAATATTCTGTCGAATCCATTCTTCCCAGATACATCTCCATCTCTTGTTATCAGTACGCTGAAGACACTCAAAGAGGTTATTCTAGTCTTTTGGCCCCGCATTAGTACCGATGAGCATCGATTGGTTATTATAAGCGCCCTGACACTTCTTAACTGCCATATTTGTTCAAAGGGTGATGAGAAATCTGAGGAACAGAAAGAGCCAAGTTCGGAAATATTAAATGAACTACTAGAGACGGGAAAAGTGTTTACAGCAGTGGTCCAACAGGCGGGGGATGAAAAGGAACGGGAGAGTTTTGAGCGGGAGTTGACGAGGATCATCGAGACCGATGGAACGCTGGCTAGAGTATTTCCTAGATGATTGTGGTGCAAGGGACTCGCAATTTTCCACATATATATAAATATAAGAATGCGATGTTCTCATATATAGTCACAAGAGATCTTCTAGGATGGAAGATATAAGCAAAGTCGTCTTGACGCACTAAGTCAAGTTCTCCAAGTAGAGTCACGATGTCGTAGTTAACAGTATAGGTATATTTTGTTACTATTAGATAGCTCTGACGAATCAAGAATTACTAGTGCTCACTCTAGTGAGCATTCTGACACTGTTCCTTTCCCACATCCAACAAAATAAAATATTGAACGATCCCCAAACGATTGCTGAACATCCTCTTTAAAAAGCTTCTCCCTCTTTCTCACGTGCATACCTAGTTCCTCAGTGTTCAATCCAAATATACAATTTCAACCCAAAAAATACATCCACTCTATTGAATCTCCAGCTAAGTTGCCATCTTCACTTTCGCTCTTGTCAGTGAGACCATCATTGTTTGCACAGGTATCGCATACTCATCTGTATCAGAAACCTAAACACCATTTCACTTCTCCATCTCATTTTCCCTCATCTCATACCGTGAAACTGTCATTCCAACACTCAATTTTCTTCCCCTTCATTTCCACCCAGTCCCCTCTCCCCTTCCTTTCTCTTCCCCCAAATCCTAAACCCAACTCCAATCCCGTATTTCACTCCCCATTATTCCTCAATCTCATATATACAATTCCACCCACCTTTTGAAATAAAAACTCACACTCATTATTTCCCACGATCCAAAAAAATAATAACATAAGATACGAAAACAAAATTATCATCTCGAGAAATCTAGAATAGAGATAAAAGGAATATTAGACGACGAAAAGGATTGAGAAGGTTATAAGTAGAGAACTGAGAGAAAAACATAGGAGTGGATTAATAGTGGATGGGTGGTGTGAGGAGGGTGTCATAGTTTGAATCTTGAGTCTTGAGTTTTGAGGATGGAGCAGAGACGGAGATGGAGAATAGGATATGAATCATGCGATGAATGATTAGTTAGACAATGAGTTTACCATTTGGGTGGTTTGGGGATTTGCAGATGTGTCATTATTGATCCATATCACACAGACTCGTATGTTAAATTAGCGAGAAAGAAGAGTATGAGATGAAACGAAATAGTGTATAAAGAATTCTACTAAACCAGTTTTATGTTTGATGAGAGATAAATATTGCTGACTCTTGAGAGGAGTGCAAAGATTGCATCGCAAGATCTGGTATATTATTGAAATTAATTAGAGTGAAGACTGAAAAGGGGCTGGAATACATAAACGAGCTAGCCTTAAATCTTTCTGCCTGTATTATGGTTTTTTTAGAAGAAAAATTAATATAAGAGTCAAAATGTTCGTTTCTTTGACAAATACAGAACGAACTGTTTGATTATAATTATACAATAATCAGTGGTATTCTCCTGATAAATTCATAGTTATACCCAAAAGCAAACAAACCACACCCATGTTCCACGAACCTTGGAATGTCTTGATCTTCGATTTCGAAAGCAGAGGCTACAATATATATCTTCTATACATCAACCATAATACAATATAATCCGCCCAATAAGCATGGGGTATAGAATAAGAATATATGCATGATTTCCACGTAATCCAGACATATTTCCGAACAATTCATCGTCATAGACCACCGAGCCCCCTCCAATCAACCACGGAGATAGAGATTGGAGAGCGTTGAAGAGACATTAATAGTGACTTGACACTCATCAATATCTCTAACAACTACAGGGATTCTACTGATATTTGCACAAGAAGCGCGTAACACGACTGATATTGATCAGAAAGCTGCAAGGATCGATCGTCATGCGACAAGAGTTATGAGAAACAGTGACGTGTAATCAAAAGACCTAAATGTGAATACGGATAAAAGATTGAGGGACTAGCGAATCTCCAGAAGAAAAAAGAACTTAAAAAAATCAAATTTATACTTCGACGAGATATCTGAATGTTATAAAACGTAAATATATTGATACCTGACACCGCACCCCCAGATAAGTTCTAGCAGAATATGCGCCCATAACACCATGCTAAAACGAAAGACCATGCGCCTCGTCATCAATTCCCTAATCAATAGGTTGTTGTTTAAACAAACTCTTCCCAGACAACCATTTCCTATATGCCTTATATCTCTTCTTCTGTCCATCTTCCTCAAGCACTGTCAAAGGGTTTTCCGCCACCCTCAGAAAGCTTCTGTACTCCTCGATTTCCTCATGATCTTCTTCTCTACCCCAGCCTCCATTGATTCCCCCGTTGTACGCGCCTTGACCAAATCCACTATCCCATCCAACACCTCTGACCCATTCTTCGTATTCATCTACACCCTCGATATCATGGTCATCATCTCCCACTACTAATGACAGTAGTTGTGGATACTCGACGTATCGCTCGTAATCTTCTTCTTCGCCTAAATTGACACTTGGGTTGAGGGATTCACTAACAACTTGAGTGAAGGTCCATTGAGCAGCTTTACTTTTATCCAGTGGTGTCATCTTTTTTCTCTCTAATCCTCCCAGATTTCGACCTGAATGGACATTGGAAGTGTAATGGTTCGAAGCAGAATTATAATTATGGAACGAATCTTCTGTTGAATGTGATTGCGAATGAGAAGATGTTTCTTTCATGATACCAGGGGGGTTGTGGTGATGATTTTGTGATGCTGTCGAATGATACGATCCATTATCAGAGAGAGGGTATGACTCCTGGATCGGCTGGAGCCACCTTTGAAGACTAATACGTTTCGTACCGGCTCCACCAGATCTGATTGATGAATTATCTGGAATATCGTCATCTGCCCTTAATTCCGTGATGTCCGGAAATGACACCTCCTTTTTCTTGCCCTTTGCATTAGGAGATGATTGGTGAACAGGTGGTTCTTCAACATGAGCAGTAGCATCAGCGCGAACTTTGAATGGCGACAAATCGTAGCCGACGCGGGACTCATCACGATGCTGTGACCGGGGCATGAGACGAGCGGACGAGGACATTTTGCCTGGATAAGTAAAAATTTTAACCATGGAGGAGATGGAGAGAGGCTTGTAATACTCAATCCAATAGTCATCGAAATAGTTAAGAGGTTTGTTCGTCAAGACACCTTGTGGATCGGAATATGGTGGCAAAGTCTTTTTTTCGAGGAAGGCAGGTGTGTACCAATTTATATAACTTCGACGAGTACGCGGAGACCAAACACGTGGATCAGTATGATGAAGATGATAGTCAGTTGCTAAATCCCATAACATTGGCTGTCCATGCTCGTAGACGTAATTGCCGAGGAACAGATTATAAGCTTCCTGTCTCTGGCCATCAAGGAATGAATTGTTGTAGTATCTTCGAAAACTTTCTACCATATCTCGAGACTGACTAGTCCATTGATTAATTTTTCGATAAGTCTCCATAGTGTTGACTAATTGTGAGCCTCCATATTGAATCGCAATTGTGTCACCATGTCCGTGATACATAGATGTGAAAAGGTTTATCGCATCAGTGTCATAGTTTATCGAAGGCTCACTCAGGATACCTAGAGCATGGAGTTGATATCCAAGAGCTCTCTTACCAATGACAAATTGAGCTGCATTAGTTCGGTCCAAACAATCAATACAATTAGTTCTAGCAACGCCATTCTGCACAGTTGGCATTGTTGTTTTGCCATCTCCGTTATGAAATATTCCAGTATGGGTAACAACTTCATTACCCATACTCTCAAGCGTACCAATCACATCTTGGTCTCGACTTTTTGAAGCGCGACTCATATCCCATGGTTTGTGAATGATTTTCTTGTCTGCTGGAAGGAATTGATTCAAGTAATTGATCGCATCTGTGAACTCATGTAAGAGTTTCGACTCTCTGGGTGTCCTTTCTTTTGCTTTCACCAAGTTCAATACATAAACAGGGGCTCCATATCTTTCGAAGAGGTTATCAAAATGCAACGCAGCTGCACTGTAAAATGGATCTACCAGGTTTAGCTCGATAGGAGGCTTGGGAGTTACACCGGTATTGTCCTGAGTCCAGTGTAGTGGGATACTTCCGCGATGTTGCACATAAGAAGTGTAATTGGGACTTGCATAGAGCTTCGGCCCGGGAGCGTGTAATGAGGTTGTGGTGTTTTCTGAGACTATTTGTTCAGTCTCGACATCATTTGCGACATATCCCTGAAAATATTAGCAGATCCCTCGAAGTAGATTGATTCATAATACCATGTCATTAGCACCACGCTTCAAAAATCGAGCACCAGCAAAGTATCTGGAGCGTCTTGCTATAATTGTTATATAGACTATTCGTCCCCATACTGGTAGAGCAGCTTGCGCGAGATACCCATGGATTACTGGTACACACCAGTCATAAGTATTCTTTAAAAGGTTTTCCGCAGGACTCAACAGATGACTGTTCCAAACGAACATGGAATTGTAATCTTTGGGATGAGGGGATGGTTTTCCAGCGGCGAGAGCAGCTCGCTCTGTCATAATATTATGCTGCAAAGTCCTGGTGATATCATAGGAATAACTGAAATAGAAAGACTTATTCAAATCAAGGCCGTTCAAGATACTCAAAAACCTTGACTCCTCAGTATTCCGAGTATCTGATGACTTGAATCTAGAGCTAGTTGATGTAGTCAGTGGTATTAGTTCCGTAGCTTCGATGGTGTATACGAAGTGGCCACCGATCATAGCAGTCTGATTCCGTTTCGTAATCATATGCATATAGTAACAACCAGTAAATCGTATAAACCCAAGTATACCCCAGACAGCACTCTTAAGTTTCATACCACCTGAGCTCTTGTTCCCATCGTCAATAGCATTGAGCAACTGGGTCATCTCCTTCTTCGTATATACAATCTCATCCTCAGTGATATTCAGGGTCCCTATCTCTGCGGTGCGATCAATCTTCAAGATCCGAAATCGAGAATCGAGGATATCGGCTCCAACAACATAATACCTCGTAGCCGTTTCATACAACGAGAACTTTTGCATGGTGCAAACACCCAAGTCTCCAACCTTTTCATATTCCGCCCCTTTATTTCGTTTCAAATCCAAGTGTGGACTGGATGTTCTCAAGAACGGTTTACAGACAGAAGCTTCCTCGTCAGTGGCATAGCCCCCAATTGAATCCCTTCTCGACCCCTCCTCGCTGGGAGGTATATGGTATGAAAGTGTTGGTATTCGTGGCACATCTTGATCGTTCTTCTCTACATCTCTAAATTCGGAAGTTAGAGGAGAGGTCATGGCAGATGTTGATTGCGAAATGGTAGAAGTGACTGTGCTTCCATCGTCGAAATGAACATGCCCATCATTAGGATCAGCAGCGCCTGGCGAGTGTCCTCGAGCCGGACCATCCTCTTGGTCTGCCATAGTGACCCGGCAGCTCCTTTCACCGTAGGTTCATTATTTTCGTTAAAGTTGTGGATAAAATTTCGAGAATTTGTCTTTGTTTGTTAACATTAGCAGTCGACGTCGCATATTCACGGCATTCACTTCAAACAAGGATATTTATTTCGTCACTTCACGACCTGTCACTGATAAGGATTTACGATAAGAATCAACAACCTTGCACAACAATCATCTCAATTTCTACAATCTTAGATTCATGCAAAATAGCAGTGTCTCTAGCTCACCATGAGTGAGCTATTCAATTACCTTCTTGATAATGAGCCCCAGTTTCGTCGGTAAGTTTCTTCCCCGCAGTCCTACATTCAGCTTCCACACCGAAATACTAACTACCGCCATCCAGAGCAAGACTTGCAGCCTTGTACTCTGACTTCCGCCAACAGCAGACATTAAATCCAGATGGCTATCAAGCAAATATCGAAGCATGGCAAAAGGCACTGGCAAAGGCGGCGAGAGCTGGAGTTATGCCATCACAAGGGTCGAGTCCCGATTTACTGATTTTGAGGGCCGATGACGAATTATTGCGCGCATTAGATACGAATGAATGGGGAAGACCTTTATCTTTGGGAGCTGTTTTTCAAGAAGCAATCGCGAAGAAAGAATTGATGCCTCTGGGAGATTTTATGAATGCTACCGACAGTATATACAACAGGTCTTGGAGTATAAAGCCTTGGGATATAGTAGGATGGGGATTGAAGCAAATTGGCATATCTTTTGGAGGAGGCAAGCTGCCGGGTGGTAAATTGGTCATTCTTGGAAATGTCGAGGAAGCAGCCAAAGTATTCGCAGGGAAAAGTGGTACAAAGACAGGGAGGGTGGGAAGGATATATTCCAGAAGAATGTTCAAAGAGGAGTTCGGCAATGTTCTTGGGGAGCATCCTCTTTCAGATGTCGATTTGGATGCTTTCTTGAAATTCCTTGCAAGGGACAAGAAAATTATAGCCTGTAATGGCGAGACCATCAAGCTGAAAGCACCAACAGACACAAAAACTCCAACGATAACTCAAGAGGATACCTCGATAGCATCATTAAAATCTCTGATTGCTGATCTTGAGATTCAAACAAAATTGTTTGCGGAAAAGGTCGACATCATGGAGCGCACAGCGAAAGAAGCCGTTGCAAAGAAAAATCGTGTGTCAGCTCTGGCAGCCCTGAGGTCGAAGAAAAGTGCCGAAACTACTCTTGCAAATCGACATGCTACTTTATCACAATTAGAAGAAGTGCTTTCTAAGATAGAGCAAGCAGCTGATCAAGTTGATCTTGTCCGAATCATGGAGTCCAGTACAAAGGTTTTGTCAAGTCTCAACAAGGAGATTGGTGGTGTAGAGAGAGTGGATGACGTGGTTGATCAATTGAGGGAGCAAATGGGACAAGTCGATGAGGTCGGAGATATTATCGCTGAGCCTGGACAAACGAATGTGGTGGATGAGACCGAGGTGGATGAAGAATTGGAAGCTATGGAGAAGGAAGAGACGAGGAAGATTGAAGAAAAAGAACGTCTGGTCAAGGAGGAGAAAGAAAGAAAGGAGGCTGCAGATACAAAGCGCAAGTTGGATGAGTTGGAGGAAGTGGAACGACAAGCGAGAGAGGCCAAGAAAGAAGACGAAGTTGTTGTTGAGAATACACAGGGCTTACGACGAATGTCTCTAGAACCAGAGCCAATATCAGAGCACGCTTGATGCATTTGTATTATTTTTTCTTTGTAGATTGGATCTTTTACTGGGGTTTCACATATACGGCGTCGATAGTTAAATGGGATATACTCTTACTCTGATAATATGAAATCAAATATCAAAGACAAGTTTATTTGAGAATAGTGGTGTGGCAATCTATCTATAACTCAGTTATTGGAAGCCACAGTGACTCGAGGCAATCCCATAACCATGAACTGTCTATCAAGCGAGCTCTGGGTAGACTCCTCTCATCATAATCTATCTTTCTCGTCTGCCCTTCCACCACTAAAAATTCACTCAGATCTTATATTGATGTGCACTTTCATCTCATTTCTGTTCAGGAGCCACAGGTTTCTTTTCAACTTTTTCGCTTCATCCGCACCGAAGAAGCTAGAAGAAGCTAGCCGTCGAGACGAACGGTAATCAAATTTACAAAAAAACATCTCAATGCTCAGAGCTTCCCAGCCTTCACTCTCCTACCTTCCATAACCCTTTCTAGATTCGATCAATCTAAACTCTTCGATCCTATCACTCATTGCTTGATGACTACTTATCCTGAATTTCTCGAAGACGTCGCATAGATAAACATCCGACACGATCTTCAATTTCTCGTCTTTCACATCATGCAAGAAGCGCAGGCTTTTATTCATTGTTTCTATTTATTGAACCACTTCTTCTCTCCATCACTAATATAGTCTCGCTCTGCGCACTAAATATTGTCACTGGGCTCTCGAAGTGTTGCATTGAAGAAACCAAACGGCTGTTCAGATTTGTAGTCCACACATATAGAGGCAGTCTTGAATGGCACTGAACATTTCACTTAAGTATTTCGCAGGGAACATCACTAAATCCAATACTCTCAGGCAATCAGGTAGTGTTGGTATCAACTTGGTTGATAAGTGTAAGTACTTAGTTCTATTGTGGTTGTATTCGTTCTTGATCATTATTATCTATGGAAAGCTAGTACTTAATATAGGGAAGCGCTAGCGCGACGCTAGCTAATACAGTGCCCTCTTCGATCACATCATCGATGTCCCGACAGGTAGTTTTAAATTATGATTCAGGAACTTGAAAGATCAAAGAAATCGCACAAATTAACGAACCTGTCAGACGAGGGTTTGTGATTATTAAAAAGGCCATTCATCAATGTATCCAATGCAAGTATGTCCTTTCAAACATCTCTCAAAAATCTATGATAGCCTCTCACTCACTTACTTACCTCTTGCTGCTCCACCCACTTCCCCGTCTCCCCCCTCCTCAAAAACTTTTACCAAAAATCCAAACCAGCAAAAGAGGTTCCACTACTCTTGTAGTGTACATCCTCTCGCTCACACTCAAGTATCTTGAGGTCCCACAGAAGCACGTCTGCTCCGGGGTAAAATCTAACTCTTTTGAGTTGATTTGATATCAACATAGTATTTCTTACTATGGATAAAGGGCAAGGGGAGGTCAATATTTGCCATCACCCTTATAATTATGGATTCAAACCATTTAAGTATTTTTGACCTCATGATGACTACTCTAGTCTATCAGGGTATATTTTTAATTCATGGAATTAAACCACGTATGGTACTCTAGAAATTTTCTGAATTTCGAGTCAATCATAGGACTCTCCTATAAAGTGGATCCATGGGTTTGAACCAGGTATCTGCGGAGATCAAATCTGAAGTATCCCAATTACCACTAAGTCACAGTGGTAATTGGTGATGACGGTGAGCATTCTGCAAATTATTAAGGTGAAGGGTTCTAGTTGAGAGGAAGGCGTGAACGTAGACGGTGGGAATTGGGGAAGGAGCGTGACTAGGGCTGGACAAAATGTTACTTATAGTCACAGCCGGGTGACTTCACCATATCGAAATAAGAAGAGGTGAGAACTTATTTGATTTTTATTATGAAAACATAAACAATTGTAAAGAGAACATTTTTACGGACGATTGAATCTCTCCAGCCTTTTGGAGTAATTTTATCACTCCCTCACTTTATTCTCACTTAGGACCAAGGTATAGGTACTCAAACTTAGGGAATGGGCAACGTCAAAGAGAGAAGTGATGCGCCTTGCGCAATCCAGTATTGATTGATTGGTACATATGGACTAGATATGTATTATTGTCCTGGTCGTCTAGGAGAAACAGAATATAAATAACTTATATAAATTCAAGGCGATGGAATTATTGTAAAACTTATATTGTTATGAAAATGCTAGACCAGTGGAAGAACATAAAGGATGATTCATATCAAAGAAGATAATCAAAAGGATGGAAGGTTGAGAGGGTATCTTATATATATATTAGTTTGATCTATTATGGCCGCATCGGCCCATTTTTGTTTATATCTCCTCCTGCTCCTGCTTCTGCAAATACATCTTGCCGCTCTTGTACATGCGTTATTGGCATGTTTTTATCATACTGTGATGATGGTGGAGCAGCCATCACGTCCTCCGGTATTCCTGCACTTTCTGAGAAGAATCGCCCATTAGGTAATGGACTGTTGGTTTCTGATACCCCAGTTGGTGGTGGTATTGGGTTATTTTCAGATATCCGATCGCGTTGAATCTCTGGTAGGAAATCTTCCCGCCCCTCTCCAACATCCCCACTGAGTGCAATATCTGGTGAATTTTGAGTAGATGCCAGGAGCACTGTCGTGGATGTTAAAGAGTCCGCTTCTAACTCTTTAGAAGGCTTGTTTTTCGCAACTTTTTGACGAGCCTGAGCTATCAAGTCTTTAAAGCCATTTTTATGTTCTTCTCCCCATGCTTGCCCGTCAAAATCCTTATCCTTGATATGAGCGGATAATGCGCTTGGTTGCGGTGCTCTTGACCCCAGCGTCCTTTCCCAAGAATCGAGATCCCTTTTCAACTGCGCCGTACTCCTGGGATTTTTTGCATCACAGTTGGCATTCCATATGGTTGTATACTCTGTTAATCTCTTCCTCATCATTTCCCTCCCCCCACCAGCCGATATCCCTAAATCTATAAGCTTTTTCTTCAAAGCCTGGTCTTTGATTAAACTGAAATTGACAACGGGTAATCGTTCTGGCCGTCTGACCGACTGAGATAATGGAAGTGAGGGTTTCGATAAGATACTTGTAGATTGAAGAGTAGTTTCGGATTCCGCAAGGCACCTTCCAATGTGAGCTTCAACATTTTTTGCTGTCATCCGTCGATTGCATACCGGACATGCAGTAAGACCATCATCTGTGGAAGAAGGTTAGCCACTGTCTGTGAAATTATAAAATAGCTCTATGGCCAATTACCTGGTTCAAAATTTGCATCATTGTCCGCTTCGTCAATAACTATCACTGCTTCTTGTGCTGCCTCCGAGCTCTCGAGTCGTCTTGCTGCCTGGCGAGTCGAAGCCCTCGTTTTCTTATTTGCTTGTTCATCCAATCCATCAAGATCTGATCTTTCACGTTTCCTTTTGGGAGATGTAACAGTAGATTCCGCCACAGGTTTCCTCGCAAGTTCCAGTGCTGCCGGTCTAGCCCTCTTAAAAGCTTCCACCAAATCTTCAATAGCAGCATTTGATTTCAGCTTGACTTCTTGGTCGTTCGATCTACATGTTGGGCATTTCGAGTCATTATTGAGGCATCTTCGTATACAAAGTGAACAAAATGTGTGCGAACAAGAAGTGATCATTGGCGTGGTGAAGAAGTCCTTACAGACTTGACATCGTAATAAAGAATCAATATCTGCAAATTTAGAAAGTGGCGTCTCTAACCAATCCGTTGAATCTGCTATATCAAAAGAATCATCCTTTGGCCCTCTAATATTCATAGCTTCTTCGATAAGAGTTTTGGTCGATTTTTTCGTAATAACTGTCTTGCTTGTCGCATTCTTTCTTCTGGACGGAGGTGACATCCTGGAAATTTCGCGTAAAGTGGTTGACAGACGCGTCGCGACTCCTAGTTTATCAGTTGCTGTAACCTCGAAAAAATATCAGATAACAGCTCCAGCAACCTTTTGAGACAACCACAAAGTTGAACAAAATGACGGATTTTAAAAGTTATCTTGCTGCGAGTATCTTGACAGAAGATAAAGTGGTAAGCAATTGTTTGTGGGTTTGTATTATTTAAACTGAAAGTTCTTAGGTCACTTATAGACTGCTTAGTCGGGTGCTCAAGGTTCATGTAAATACAGCAAAGGAGTATGTCATTTCCAAGCTTTGTAGCATACATTCTGCTAACATTTTGACAGAATGCTGTTTGAGTTTCATAGAGTACAGAATGCAAAGAAACCAGGAACAATCCATGCAACTTATCTCATCGGTGGAACAAAGAGAAAAGAAGCACCTACAGAGGTGGAAGCGCAAAAAGATGGCGAAGATGATTATATGCAGAGCAGTCCGTTCGTCGGAAGCTCAATGCCACAGGCCGAAGGAAGTACCGGCGAAGGCTCTACATTGAGTATAACATTGACTCGAGAGGAGGATTTGGAAAGTTGGAACCCCGCCTTTGGCAAGCCATCTTTGTAGCTAATAACTTACAGCAATACGGTCTCAGTTTGAGCATATTTCCTCAATACATATCTATAGTTTAGGACCTCATCCATTGAAGGTAGAACACCTTTTTATATCCATTCTCTCTGAGTACTAACAGTTTGTAGGAGCTCCAATTGCTCTCAGATTCGACCCGAGAAATCCAAACACTCGCCAAATCCGAAGACCCCCTCGAATCCTACCATAAATATGGAATAATAACCAATCCAAATGCCAAACGCCGCACCCGTAAAGCACCACCTATTGCAGCTGCCACACAAGCATCTGTTCCAGCCAGACCTGCGACTGCGAAATCCAAACTCAATGAAGTCCAAGAGGCTCCTAAATCATCCTCGTCCTCCAAAAAGCCCGAACCTAAATCACAACCATCTAACGCCAAAGATTTCTTCGGCAACAATGGAAAAGAAAAGGCCAAGCCAAAGCCACAACCGGATTCTACAAAAGCCGAATCCTCGACTGCGCCTTCGAGTAAAGAATCAACACCAGCTCCTCCTGCAAATCTGAAGCGCGAATCTAGTAGCATTTTCAAGGCGTTCGCTAAAACTCAGCCTAAGAAAGCAAAAATTGAGGAAACAGAATCGAATATAAAAGACGATACAGCGATGAAAGATGTGTCGGACGACGACGAGGAGGATACGTGGATGCCAGCGCCTGTCAATAAAGAAACCAAGTCTCAAGATCGAAGTTCCAGGAAAGCAACACAGGAGAGACTAAGGAAAATGATGGAAGATGATGGAGAAGAAGAAGAAGAAGCAGAAGAAAAGATAGCACCCTCTTCAGCTCCTGAAACACCCGCCGAGGAATCAGAAGAGGAAAAGGAACTAGAGGAAGCAAAGGAAGAAGAACCTGTTGCAACTACAAGCAGTGGACGAAGAAGAGGTAGAAGAAGAGTCATGAAGAAGAGGACTGTGAAAGACGAAGACGGCTATTTAGGTAGGTTACTCACGAACTTCATTCCCCTTTCCATGCATACTGTGCTAATCGAAATAACAGTAACGAAACAAGAAGCAGCCTGGGAATCATTTTCGGAAGACGAGCCTGCTCCAGCACCTAAAGCTAAAGCGGCCCCTGTTTCCACTAAGCCCAAGAAGGATGCTCCAAAGAAGGGACAGGGGAATATTATGGCATTTTTCGGGAAGAAATAGAGTTTCTGGCGGAAGTTTAGGGAGTGGTTGTTGACGACAGTTGATAGCGAGCTGAATTGAGCATCATAGAGGTTATGCAATTGAGGATAGCTTTGACCCAAATGCATTGGTAGCAAATGAATATAATAAAACCAGATCACTGTATTCGGATGCAAGACATGCACAATTGCAAAAATTGCACTCAAATCTAACTTTTCCTTATAGAATATCAAATACATATAATTTGCCTTGCTTCGCCAACAAGCATGATCCAGCTAATCCGACAAGTCGCCCAGGAAACTCCTTACATAAGTATAACTCCAATCATAGCATAGCCATTGCTTGCATACTTTCATGCACCAAGCCTCTTGACGATTAAAGACGTCAAGTCTCGAGGTCGTAAGGATCAGCGCCCTCCCCGAACAAAAGATGGGGTTTCCGTTTTGCGAGATCGAGAATTGTTTGCGCAAAGACTGAGTTAGCCCCTTTGTAAATGTTAGTATCTGGATTTACCATATGCGATGGGTCCTATAAGACACGCGAAGACGGAAAGGGGAGAGAAAATGATGACATACATGCAAACCAACTCCTCGTATATTCCTGTATACGGTTGACATTAATGCTCTCATGAATAAGTCCCAATCTACTCGCTTTCAAAACTAAATTCAAACATTCCATGATCTCATCATCATCATTACTAGTCATGGCTTGCAACAGTAAAGACATAGGCCATGCATTTTCAGGGCCGATATGTGGCCCTCCGATGCCTTTGAATGCTTTCCCTTCGAGATAGTATGGATTTCCCTCTTTAGATAAAATCATCTTTCTAGTATTTTTGTAGATTTGATCGTCATTGCTGCAGAAACCGAGGATTGGCAGTGCGAGGAGACTAGGCACATTGGCATCGTCCATAAGAATTTGCCCACCATAGCCATCTACTTCATATGCAAATACTTTACCCCATTTCTTGTGTTGTACGACGGCGTGCTTCATAATGCCATCTTTGATACTTTGCGAACGCTTCTCGAGAGTTTGGGCTAAATCGGAACGTTTGGCTACTTTGAGGATCTCGGCGGTACGTTTCAGTTCGACGGACATCTGCGCATTGGCTGGGATGAAGAAACCCAGAATCGTAGTATCGTCCGAAGGGCGGAATGCGCTCCTTATCAAGCCTGTACCGTAATTCAATGGGTTTCCAACACCAGATAATGGTAAAGTTTCGGTTCCCTGATCGGTTCGACGACTGAATGTGTAGGCATTACGTTGGAAACGACCAGTCTTTGAATCAAAGCTCGATTCGGATTGTTGCTCAATGACCATGAGAAGTGTATCCAGTGCGGTCAGCCACCGCGAATTGATAAAGTCAGTCGATTTAGTGTGATTGTAGAAAGCGTTTCCTAAAGCCAGAAAGTTGGCAAGGGAATCGAGCTCGTATTTACACTCGAAGACAAAAGATGGTTCGTATGCGGGGTGGACATTGTCATCTTGTCCGTTTTGCGATGCAGCAAGCTTCGAGGGCGGGGGCGGTTGAAACGCGTTGCAATAAGGCGACTGTATAACATACTCTGCTTGTGTATTGATAGCTCCCAAAATCAGATTGAAAATAGCTGGATCTTTGTTTGACAAAGGCTGATACTGTAGCAATTGGTTTGTAGAGTCTCTGAGCCACTCCGCATTGATGTCTCCCGTAACCACGAATGACTGCGCTCCCTGCCATTTCTGATTGCTCTGGGCACTTCTCGCCTTCAATTCCGTATGCTTTGTAGTTCCGTCGACGTGCCATCGTACAGTTGTATCGAGAGTATTGGGGAAAGCGTTTTCGAACAGTCTCGCGAGGTCCTTGTTAACCATCTTAAGTGACATATCATCGATGACCTTCTCCACCAAAGGGGAGGAGAATGTTCGACACTCCTCAGCAGGCCGTTGAAAAGGCAATTCCATAGGTCCATCAGATACTGGCCCATGCCTAAACGTCGAATACTTCTTATAATCTGGACATGCTTTCGCATACTTATGAGGATCGTTTATTGGTTCTTGTGATCGATATGGCGATTGAGCTATTGCGCCCAAAGCTCCTAGCCACAGAAGCCATGTTTGGAGGGGGAAATGGCCCATTGCGGTTGATTAGAGATATGTGATAGGTAATGAAGCTTTGCAGGGCCTTTTCCAGAAGAACAAATCTTAATTCGACATCTGAAGAAACGTTTATAGCTATTGCTTTCCGGAATGAGAGCTGTTGCAATGAATTCGATGGATCCAAGCAATGATTGGCGTTTCGCGATAAAATAAGCGTTTCTCTTCCTTTCCTTTGGATCAGCCAACTTTCATAGGCCTAGGGTAAAGGATGTCCTTTCTGAAATGTCGATGCTAGAATAATACCAATTGAGATATCGAAAATTGCGACTTAATGGAGGTGGTTTGTGTCTGCAGATTGACAATCAATAAGTCGGGGAAATGGCAAGCCCACAAGCCCGATAGCTTGGCGGTGGGGTGGTGCCTCGAGGGTGCTTCCGCTATCCCATGCGAGCCATGTTAGAGCCTCAGAGCTAAACCGGGAGCCCACTTGAGATAGACGAGCGAGACGATATAATTAATCCTAAAATCCGCTTAATTTATACACCTATATTGTCAGTGTGATCAGACGAACCACCTTCATAATTTTTTAGCTAACTTTATATAACAGCAATACTTCCAGAGCATCATAGTTTGATGGTTGCTCGAAAGTGGTATAATTGGGCCCGACTGCTTTCCTGGGCCTATTGCCATTTATCCCAAAGTTATTTAAACTTGTCTCGCTGCAAAATACCTTGGTCTTATGCCTATTTTGCTGCAGAGTCGGCGTCAAACTATAGAATCTGCAGATTTGTTATTGGTTCTATCTACGTGTAGTGGGAATAGTGTCGCGGGTCTTCTAATCGCACATGGTTTCTGTCCCACCGAAATTTAACGTGATTCAGATATACGTATAACGGCGACATTTATTCTCCTGTTGTTTCTTCCAAGTCTCAATTTTGTGATCTTAACTGCACCATCACAAGCAAGAGCTACCAGTCACGAGATTTGAACATGTCACATTTGGTACAGATTGCGTACTGTTCTGGTGCAGTTAAATCCTCTTTCCGCAAGTATATCGGCAACAATTCGTCGAGAGTAACAATACCTATCTACAGTCAGAGACAAGTCAAGATGCTTCGAAATTGACTAAGTCTCATATTACCAGCCTCGTCTTTTAAACGTTCTGAAGAGGTCATGGAAGCAAGACTGACAATAACAATGTTGCCATTAATCCAAAATCAAAGCATCTGTTTTTTGCTATCTCCCGCTTTCCTTCTCTGGAAATACTTAGCCTAGGCCATCCCGAATTAAGCTATAACTTCAGTTGACTTTTTTTTCTTTGCACTTACTTCGTCTATTTCTTCTCTTTCTCCAGCTATATATTCTGATCTCACAGAGTCTTGCAAACATCAGAGTCGTCCGGAGGGAAATCCTTCTCAGCAAATGAAAGATGTGTCTTCCCTTGCCCAGGCTCAGAATGCCGTGTAGCTTCCTATCAAATCTTTCTACGTCTGCAATGCTGTTTGCATCTGTAAGAATGTCTCGGACATGCCATTGAATATTAACATTCAAAGCAGAACCCAGGATAGATGCTTGGCTCCAGACAAGAAAAGTTGATCACCTACATTTGATGTTGAGTTTATCAATAGAGGATTTCGAGTGAAAGTTGTAGATTATTTCATCTTCAAAATTGTTCCATTTGAGATGCTTCCCCAGATTGGAATCTGTTTTTGAGTTCTTCCAAAGATCAATACTTTAGCTATCCTAAAGCAGTATCATTTTGACGAAGTTTATTTCAGCTGTAAGGAAGAAAACTTGGACGTGCCAAACTTCTAGTTCTACATACGTGAGAAAAGTTTTACCCTGGATCATCTTTTATTGATCCTTATCAAATGGGCAATTTAACCCAAAATGAATAAAAAAAGAGTCCTTATACCATTTGGACGATGTAGACCGAGAAATTTGAGGTAAAGACTTGTATTGAACCTCATGTTTTGGGCAAATCTCAGGTGCGCGGGTCATGCGATGGGAGAGAGGTTAGGCAATTCAGGGGAGATTTTGCTTAAAACTAAGGATATCCTCACTCCCTGGAGCTTCGGGGATATTTCGACTCTTCCGAAAAGAATCATAGCATGAAACTAATTTTCAGAAGGAGGATGCTACTTCGGAGACTCAACATTCGATTTTTACAGAGAATCATCAAGACCTCAGCCCGATCTCCGATTCAGTGATATATGCAAAAAGAAGAAACAAAGTAATCATTATCCAGTTTCGATCCTTGGTTATGATTGTTTATTAGATGAATAAACCGTCCGTACGAAGCTAGAAATATTTTTAGCATTTGACCCTACTAATCATAGAGTGTCAAAGACCATAATCACATCGCGATCATGAAGAATCCCTGCAGGCGTATGAGTTATATATGCTAATTTCAACGGGTGTCTAGAAAAGATAAAACATAATGAGCCAGTATAAAAAGGAAACTGACATATGAAGGTGCCAAACATATGCTTCGTTGTCCACGAACAGGAAAGGATTGAATTCATATTACTTTTGTGAGCAATTGGGGTCAGACCTTGAACTTTGCAACATCCAACCAGGTCTGGATAATTAGTCCTGATCAAATGAATATAGCTAGCTGTACACTGGCACATAGATTAGCAACAAGTTAGGGAGCTCTCGAGCTTACATTGGTGTTTGATGCTTACCTAGGTAGATTACATGTATCTAAAGTGCTTAGCGAGTAAAATTTATGCAGTGGACGTTGTTGCAGTTGCATCATCAGCACAATTACTAATAAGCTTTCTCTAATATGTAAATACCGAGCGAGGTAATTATAGCCGATCGTAATACGATGTTGTGCTATGAACAGTACACCAACTGAGTCATGAAGCATGCGGTAAGGCAATCTGTGCACGCCATTTTCTCTGAGAACTGTAGCATTTCAATGCCACTGGCAAAGCTTAGGGGACATACCCGATTGCGATCGTTGTTGAACAGTATGATTGCTTCTGCAGTATTGCACGTTTTGATTACGAAGTAACATATACCAATGCCACTGCATCGTAGATCCACTTAATGCAAGGCTTTCGAGTATTCTTCCTAGAAGATATCTTCAACGACTTTAACTATTAAGCTATGCAATGTAGCCCGAATATACACTATTCCTACCCCGGACCAAGCAACATTCGGACCTTTCTCTGATGGCTCTCGCACATAGTAAATTTCAGATCTATTTCATCTGCAGCTTTCTACACCGGTTGAATATACTCTTGCATACCGGAACACTTCTCCTGATGATGGGCACGCGTGAACACGATGGTAATCATGGTATGATATGCAATACCTTCCCAGAATACCACTTTCCCGAACATTGCGGAATTTTAGTGCCATTCGTTGAAGCAAAACTCTTGAATGTCACTGCTTCCTTACATGTTTCCAGCAACCTTCAGAACACTGTTGGACCTGGAAATAATAGGCGTCTCCCGTCTCTTCTGGTGTTGTACCCATTGCCATGCAGCCCAAATTAAAATTCAGAACTAACAGCCCAATAAAGCTGTCACCAATGAAGATCCCAGAATTTGGGAAATAAAGAGCCGTTGCCATTGAATACTACAACGCGTTCTTGGTCTAGTGGCTCTTCTTTCACGTGATTGACCAAGCCTTTACAGCACCTACGGCGATGCTTGATTTTGAAATTAGTTAACGGCTTGTACATAGCATTTCAGGTCAAAATGAGGCACTGGATTTCAAATGCCACAGCTTCAATTCTCACAAATTTAAGCATCCTGGCCTGATAGGATCAGTTGGTAACAAACTCTTCAAGTTATTGAATGGAATTCGAAGAATAGACATTAGGGGAACGAGGCGCGATCCCTTTACAGAGATCCTTCATTGCAGATGGTTCATTCCGGATTGTTGTTTGAGCCTCAATAAGATAGATACCAGAGAAGGGCTGCACTGGATGAAGGGCGGCATGAGTGGCTTGCTGGCTAAAAACCAGTGTGATGTACCAGTCTGAAAGGAATCATCGTGCGACAGATGTTTCAGCAAGGTTGCTCGAGTCATGTAGATATCATCGTCCGCCGATAAGACTACCAGCTGGAGTGCAGCTGTGAAGGGGGGAGATATAGGAAAAGTTTGTGACTGCGCACAGCTTCTTCAGCTCGTGCTTGGATGAAAAAAGATCTCCATTTTGGGGAATAAACGCGATTGTATATGTAAGAACCAACACCAGGCTAGCGAGGCTAATTCAGCTGATGGTCCATGGAAGCAAATAATTTGTCATTTGTCAGCATTTCCGATTTAACCGTTCGTGATTAGTCATCAACAAAATTTCTCTTTCCTGTAATACGGAGGCTTGGAGGTTGCTCTTTACATGTTGTGCTCCACTCGGAAACCCTGGAGGCATGTTTCCTAGAAGGTTATCCGCATGTGGGTGGGTCTATTAAGTGCAATTTTAAGCGGTTATCGAATCTCCATCAAGCCTCTCCGATAGTGCGTGCATGAACAAAGTCCATTTCGAGATACAAGCAAAGTTGATGTCAGAATATCACGAACAATCTCGATACTGAAATCTCTACAAAGTGAAGTTATTAGACCTCAAAGAGTAGAGGCATGAATGATACCTGACATTGAGCTTGCTGGTCTGCTTCGACCATGGTGATCCTCAACGGTAAAGGAAATGGGTGTGTCAAGCCGACTGTGCAAGACATTGCAGAATTTCGAGATCTTTTTGAAGATATTCACATCGCAGATACGAGCCAAAGTTCCATACCAGATTCCACAAAAACGCGCTCTTCGAACACAATAGCCACCATCGCCGAAGGCCTAAATTCATCCACGATCCTTTCTTCAATACCAAAGCCAGCAGACTGGACCTCAGATCTACCTAACTCTGAGCATGTCCAATTCTTCAAAGATACAAATTGGGCTGCAACACATCTCGGACCATTGGAATCATGGGGTCTTGCCCTTCGACTTCACACCTTCACAACTTTTGCGGATTCAAGACCTGCTTGTTTATATTGGTATGATGGAAAGACGAAATCTCTCCACTC